TAAGCGAAACGGCAAGAAAAAACACTGTAATGAAAAGTGTAAATAGCTGTACAAAAGACAGTTCTTCAAATGTTGTTCACACCTTGGTTCATGGCAGGAAGCCGTGTACCTGTATATACACCAACGCCGACAGCTTACTCAACAAGCGTTCTGAGCTTCAAGCTCTTGTTGACTTGTATGACCCAACTGTAATAGGCATTACTGAGGTCAAACCCAAAAACTGTAGATATTCTGTACAGGAGTGCGAAATCGCCAAAGGAGGGTATGACCTATTTCACAATTTAGACAGTGAGGGTAGGGGACTGGCCCTACTTGTGAAAACAGAACTGAAACCATGCCTGAGCGACAGTGTGAAGTAAAACTTCAACGAGTTCATCTTTGTGGATTGCAGGGTGGACAGCGGGGAGCCTTTACTGCTTGGACTTGTGTACCGGAGCCCCAACAGTACTGTCGATAACTGCAACGCTCTAAATGAGATGCTACGTGAGGCAACCAAAGTCAACCCAAAGCGTACAGTCATTCTGGGAGACTTCAACTACCCTAGCTGAGATTCTGTGGGATCAGGAAAAGAGTTCAGCGGGGCAGGATCACCTCGCGACACGATTCCTTAGCGCATGCAGAGACGCTTTCTTGGTTCAACTCCAGAGCGAACCAACCCGAAGCAGAGTAGGGCAGACGCCAAGTCTTATCGACCTTGTGCTTACAAGTGACGAGGACATAGTGTGTGAAATTCAGACAACCGCAGGTCTCGGGAAAAGTGACCATGCCGTTCTTGTCATTGGCTTCAACTTCGCGGCCCCTCAGACAACCCCGCCCCCACGCTTCAACTTCGCCAAGGCTGACATTGACTCCATCGTTATCGACCTGGGCAGAGTGGAGTGGGGAAGTGAACTCAGTGGTCTAAACTCGGATGCAACATGGTGCAAAATTCGTGACTCCATAAACAGTGCCGTCAATGTGCATGTTCCAAAAACCAAGGCTGGCAGCCGTAACAGGAAGAAATGGATGGACAGAGACACACTCGTAGCAGTGAAGAAGAAGCATCAGTTGTATCGTAAGTGGCTAGAGTCACGCAGTGGTCAGGACTACCTTTACTGGAGAAAATCTAGCAATCAGGCTGGGAAAGCATGTAGAAAAGCACAGCGCAAACTCGAGAAAACCATTGCAGATAACGCAAGGAACAATCCAAAGGGTTTTTGGTCTTATGTCAAATGCAAAACAAGCACAAGAAGCGGCGTAGCCGACCTCAAGAGAGGTGATGGCACAAAAACCTCAAACAATAGGGAAAAAGCTGATATCCTCAACGCTTTATTCGAAAGCGTGTTCGCAGTTGAACCGGATGGTCTCCTCCCTGACCCCCCCGCAGCAACACTCCGAGAGGAACTGGTGGACTTTGACTTTTCAGTGGAGAAGGTGTGGAAGCTGCGCTTTCCGAACTCAACCCTACCAAGGCGGCGGGCCCGGATGATATCCACCCACTCATATTAGCAAAAGCAGCTGAGGTGCTAGCATACCCCATCGGCCATCGCGACTCTGTTTAGGCGCTCTCTCGATGAGGGGAAAATCCCTGAAGACTGGCGTACAGCTCGTGTGACACCCGTCTTCAAGAAGGGGAGCAGACTCCTACCCAACAATTACAGGCCAGTCAGCCTGACGTGTGTACTGTGCAAAGTAATGGAAAAACTTGTGCGTGAGCACGTGGTGCTCCATCTTCAGGCCAACTCTCTTATTAGCGAAAAGTAACATGGATTTGTGGATGGGCGTTCCTGCACAACGCAGCTTCTTAACGTATTAGACAGGTGGACTAAAGTGCTCGACCTTGGTGGTTCAGTGGACGCAATTTACTTGGACTTCCAAAAATCCTTCGACAGTGTGCCGTATCAACGTCCGCTCAGTAAGGTAAAGGCCTACGGAATTGGTGGCAAGGTGCATGGGTGGATCAGCAATTTCTTGACAAATCGTACTCAGCGTGTGCTAGTGAACGGCTCACATTCAGACCAGGCATCTGTCATCAGTGGTATTCCTCAAGGATCGGTCTTAGGACCAGTGCTCTTTGTGTTGTACATTAACGATTTGCCTGGATGCATTCAGAGTGACATGCGTTTGTTCGCGGACGATGCAAAAGTATTCACAAGAAGTGATAGTGAATCCGCCACGGTGGTGCTCCAAGAAGACGTCAATAGACTGCTGATGTGGTCTGAGCGGTGGCTGCTACGTTTCCATCCGGAAAAGTGTAGTGTTTTGAAAGTTGGAACAAAGAAGAGTGAGGCATCCTATCGCATGAACAGCACTGTACTTGCAAACTCAGAGGTTGAACGTGATCTTGGAGTTCTAGTAGACAACAACCTGTGCTTCAGAAACAATGTTGCCCAAATGTCCGCCAAAGCCAACAGAGTTGTCGGTATCATCCATCGTAGCTTCGACTGCCTCAAAGAACCTGTGTTTGTTCAGTTACATAAGGCGCTTGTACGCCCACTGTTGGAATACGGTCACTCTGCGTGGCAGCCATACAACAAAACACTCTGTGCGGAGGTCGAGGATGTTCAAAGAAGGGCGACCAAGCTACTGGCATCACTGAGCAACCTAGACTACCCGGCTCGGCTAGCCGCTCTGCACCTACCAAGACTCGAACACAGAAGAAAAAGAGGAGATCTCATAGACTGTTACAAATACGTCCACGGAGTGTACAACACCGCATCACTCTTCAAGCTGTCCACCAGTGACAGAACCAGAGGCCATAGTTTGAAACTTGTTAAAGAGCAGTGCAGTCGCCAGGTACGCTTGAATTTCTTCTCCGTCAGAGTGGTGAACGTGTGGAATAGCCTTCCTGAGCTGGTAGTTTCCGCCCCCAGTGTCAACTCATTCAAATCTTGCCTGGACGCTCACTGGTCTAACCTAGCCACCAAGTACGACCCGGACTGCTATCACTAAACTCGTACTTGGAACCCACCACGCACGTTGCTTAATAAGACGTATCACCATCACCATGATTGGTGAACAGGCCTCTAATAAGGCCTTCAACACCTCAACCCTTCAAAGTCAAAGTCAAAGTCAAGGATGGACCCGCACGATTTGACTCCGGTAAACTTAACTGCTTTCTAGGGCGAATGACTTTCTTCTTGTCTTCCAGGAACTCGATAAATCGCATTCACCAGGGGGATCATCCATACATTTTTGGTATAGGAAATATGTTTGAGAGTTTGTATGAAATATGTGTTAGAGTTGAAAAATGTTTGAGGATGAGGTCAAATCGTTCCGATTTGACCTCATCCTCATCTGCTGGTTGGTTGGTTCTGGGTCATTGGTCACGAAATTTGTGACAAGTGAGGTCATGATTTTTCTTTGACTCAGTCTCCAGATGAAATGATAAAATTCAAGCATTGCGATTATCTTTTCATGCGTGATTAAAATACAGCGTCTGAAGGTACATAAAACTATAGAAATAACTGTAAACAATTTTATTGTTCGGAATATTTTCATTTCAGATCACATGCTACTGTTGGAAAACGGCGCATGTCCACTGTTGGCTGTAAATAACCCGCGAATTACCGAAATTATCTATATAAAACGTAAATACCGCAAAAGATAAATGGAAAATTTACTGTCCTTGATGGGACTACTAACATAATGCAAGCCATTTTATATTCTCAATCCCATCCTTTTGCTTATGCAATTAGCCTTGTAAGGTGCCGCTCGACAAGCCATCAATTTGCAACTGCAGAATCACTCAATCGACAATTCGGGTCGCCTGCCGAAGACCACAACTGCCCTGGATATAATGTACCATCATGATTCCTGCCTTCCGGAACGTAGCCTTCAACACTTCAAGCCGTCCGTATCTAGGCCGTGGGTCGAACCAGCCCTCGGTCGAACGGCAACTTGTCGAAGGGCGATAAATTTTGGAACAGAACTATGCTATCTGAAACCTAACCTCAGATGCGGTGAACGTAAAATTACGTAATTTAACGATGCCCGGAAGTCAGATTCGATCCGCGGCCCGGTGGTGCACGGCAGGTGGTAGTAGTATAGTATCTTCGGCATTAAAGAATATGCCTGGATAGGCTTGTCGCCGAAATAGCGGTTTCAGCGTTTATTAGGCCGTAGGCCTGTCGTCGATTCTTAACATCGCAGAACATTCACAGCATTTTGCGGTCTCGAACTTGCAACTCACTGCAACAATTCTGCCGTGCTTAACCGCCCGGCCTCCTTGCCGATTCTGACCAGAAAATGGCGCACAGAGCTGGGATCGAACCCGCGCCTCTCTGCGCCAATCTTTGAACTTTAATCACCGGGCCACCCTGCCCTGGTGGTCAAGGCCGGAGGAGGACAAAGCTGAGTGGTGCACGGCTGATTGGTGGATATCCGGAAAGATCCAAGGCGTTCGATTCAGGGCTTATTGGTGCACAAAATTGGTGTTGCACAGCCCGACAATTCTACGGACCTGCCTGAGGACTCGCCTGCGGACTCGCGCAACTGGGCCACTCATTATTCCTTAAATACTTAACGGATCTGTATGAATTTTGGAATATGAGTATTAATTATCGATACGCGGTCGCAGGAATTATTACAGATTTTCACATGAATTATTTTTTAATTGAAACCAATAAACGTATTTTTTAAGCAACTGGGCCACTCATAATTCCTTAAATACTTAACGGATCTGTATAATTTTGGAATATGAGTATTAATTGAGTTTGCAAACTGAGGTCGCGTGGATCCTTCATAGCCATTGAATATTCAACCACACGAAATCTTAACGGGACGTAATTCCGAAAACTCGTGTGAGTAATGAGCGCATTATGAATGAAAAAACGTGTTTAATAATTGAGATGAACACCCGCTCCAAGATCGGGTTTTAATGATGAAAGTTATGCATGTAATGAGTGCTGTAAAGCGTTTTATAAAATTTCTGCCAAACCGTTGTCCCCCATATCGGCCCAAAAATGTGGATGCCATTTGTTCTTCTCTTGCTTAGATATTTTTATACCTGCTCCATACTTGTACCTCTTGCAAGCTTCCTCTGTAGACGTTTTCAATACAACCCTCTCAGCTACTTTCTTTTATCTGTCTAGGGGAAGTTGGGAACAGTGACTGACAACAGTCTACCACTATTTCGAAATGACAACAGAATAGATTCTGACATGTCGTCGTCTATAAGCCAGAGAGCGTTTGCTCAAAGGCTGTCAAGGTGGGTGATTCTTTTATCATTGTTCCTTAAATAATGTAATTGAGTGAATTTGGTGTGATTAGTGTCTGTTTCAACTTTCAATCACTGTTAATATCATACACTCTTATTAGAGTCTTATCATCAACACTTCAGCTCTGCTCAGGCATCAGGCCCAGGATTCAGCAGCCTCCCTAGCTGCTAAGTTGATGCAAACGCAGTTGTCACTTCAGTCAGTTCACTGAGTTCAGTGTTCTGTTCAATGATGATGATGGGAATTGGTTGCATGCTAGTCTGGAAAAGTCCTATTTTTGTCTGAAATATCGCGGCTCTAACATCATATAATTTCAGTAGGTATGAAATCTCGCGGCTTGAATGTCATAAATTTTTGTTTGATTAAAAAATCACGGTTTGCACTTCGCAAACATGTCATTTCATAAAATTTTCAACTTCCACAGTCCGCATTGCTTTACCGTTTCCGCCAAAAATATCTTGCAGAAAAAACATAAACATCGTAATGTAAACAAATAAACAAAACGTTTGTTGAAGATCGCGCATATAAAAATTCAGTCGCGGCTCGCCAAGTAGATATATTCCATACTAGGTTGCATGCTTGCATTTTCTTGAATTTACGTAGGGTAAACGCGGTATATTCCAACACATTAAGGACGCATCAAGAAATGAAAAACTATAAAAAAATAACCATATGCATTACTTGAGTTCTGTTTGCTTTACGTGACTCTCAAAACACCGCACTAGGCGCCAGCAACAATGAAACGTCACAAACTGTTGCCATATGTATTTAAAAGCCTTTAGAGTTTAGAATGCAAACCTAGGCTACCAAATCCCTATATTCCAACGCTGTGTGTGACTAAATTCTGCACGTGGTGAGACGAATTCCGGCCGCGCTTCAAACTCTACTAATACAGTAAAACATAATTCCGACATCTTTGTGTTCAAATTCCGATCGCTGTGTGAGCTGTATTGGAATACGACAGGGCTTTGAATTATTAAACACTATTGAATATTGATCACTACTTAATTAGGCTTTTAATTAACAGCTATTAAGCTTTTAATTAAGAAAAATTTTATTTTTGCACACAGCTCGGAATGAGCTATGTAAAAATTTCACAGCTCTGAATGAGCTGTGTGTGTCCAATTCAAGTTGTCGGAATTAGTTTTTATGTGTCTAAATCCGTTTTTTTACTTAATCATCTATTAATTTATTTACCACTTGTCCACTTGAAATCAGCAAATACAAGTATACTTAAAGGATTTCTAATATATTCACAGACTTAGGGTAAACGCGGTATATTCCGTCACATTAAGGATGCATCGAGAAATGAAAAATTATAAAAAAAATAACTGTATGCGTTACTCAAGTTCTGTTTGCTTTATGTGACTCTCAAAACACCTTACTATGCGTCAGCAACGACGAAACGTCACAAAATGTTGCCATATTTATTTAGAAGCCTTTAGAATACAAACCTACCAAATCCCTATATTCCGTCACTGTGTGTGGCTATATTTGGCACGTGGTGAGGCGTATTCCATCCGCGCTTCAAATTCTACTGATATGTAATGCCGTCATCCACGTGTTCGAATTCCGTTCGCTGTGTGAGATGTATTGGAATACAACATGGTTTTGAATTAGAACACTAATGAATATTGAACACTACTTAACCCATTAATGATAATTATTTACTGAATTTTTTTTGGCTCCTTGTGAGAATATTATCATTTGTGATGGTAATAAACAAAAAATATGTTCATATATTTATTTTTCGTTGTATGTGAAAAATTATAGCTTGGTTCCATATGGATCCGCTCGGCATTAACATAATGTTTCTTCAAACAACACTTTTTCTGATAGTAAATCAAGCAAGGTTATGCATAATGGATAATACGTATTCATAATGGACAATACTGATGATAAATCAATCATGGCAGAATACAATTTAATTTTTAGCATAGAATGCTTCCATTCATTCAAAATGAATAGGAAGGTTTCCCATTCTACGAATGTTTGTGGGTGCGTTGTCAACATTGTTTACGAAGCACTGCATTTGCAGTGCTTCTGATGTCTCTTTGCTGGCCAATGTTGGTTGATTGTTGTATTGCACTTCATCAAGGATCGAAGTAGAAGGGTGCACTATAGACCCTGATTGTTTTATTTAGGGTCTCCTGCATTATTGCGTTTCCTAACCGATCTTTTTGAAAATTTATCGCACTAGCCATTCTCTTTTTTCAAGTGTTTTTTGAGAAGCCAAATGAGACCAGAATAGATATCATATATAATATGTTGGCTTGGGACCAATTGTATCATGTTTATGGGACCAATCCATGTTCCAGCCCATGAATAAGCTTCTTTTGCTATTAGATCCGCCGATTGGCTTCAATTGCATAAAAATATCATCTGATTTATCTGCTGCCCAAAGTTTATAACGAAATCTCGCGGGCTAGCCTCGTATATGTCGTAGTATATGACCACAGTTGACTTTCTTCTCTATCAAAAGTCATTGTTTTCACATTTGGTGATTACTGTTGCTGCAATGACTATTCTTGATAGGCGAGCAGAATTGCTAGTGGCTGCGTCATCTGAGTAATCTGAATCGCAGTATGTTTCTTAATAGTTCACTAACAAATAACAGAAAGACTGTTGATCTAAGATCTAAATAAATAATTTCTAAGTACAAACAAGTTTTTGAAATACAATGCATAACTATATCACAAAAAAAATCTACTGGGAAAGTGAGATGACCGGAATGCTTACACTACTGCCGAGCGGTTCCATTTGGAACCAGACAAAATATTTCATGATCCAAAAGACTTTTAGAAACCTTATATCACGTAATACCATATACAGAATTAAAAGTACTCTCTTTATCGATAAAATTCTGCATCTAACTTATGAATAATATATTCTTAGAACGAACTACTTACCTTTCTCTGCAATGATGTCAAGCCCTTCTGTCTGACACCCGGTACTTACAATCTTTTAATGTTAACTGAGCAGGGAGTAGTCGGTGCAGCAGAACCAAACGTTGTCAGAACATGTGCAAGATGTGTATAAAACCTACGCATCCACTAGTATATTGATTTGACCATACAATTTTATTATGAATCCATTTTTTTCCGCTGGTTCCAAATGGAACCGCTCGGCATTAATGGGTTAATTACGCTTTTAATTAACAACTATTAAGCTTTTAATTAAGCAAATTTTAATTTTTGTACACAGCTTGGAACGATCTGTGTGTGTCCAATTCAAGTTTTGACGGAATTAGTTTTCATGTGTCTAAATCCATTTCTCAACTTAATCATCTATGAATTCATTTACCACTTGAAATCAGCAAATACAAGTATACTTAAAGGATTCCTAATATATTCACAGACGTATTTAAAAGTCTCAGACCATAATATTCTTCCTATACAAACAGTTATTCACTATTTGGTAGAGCAAGGTCAACTGTCAAATTTGACACATTTTTTAATGATCTCACTGGGTAGCGTGCATTGTCTCTCTTTGCATCTCAATATTTTCCCGCTAGATGGCCAAGACCTAGTGTTTTGGCAGTAGTTTGATGCACAAAAGTATGACGTCACCATTTCAACCATCAACAAACGCATGGAACTAAAACAAAGCTTAATATAAAGGAAAAACTAGAGAGGTGACGGAATTACCCACGATGTCGGAATATACCGCGTTTACCCTATTTAAAAGCCTCAAACCATAATATTCTTTCTACACAAACAGTTTATCACTATTTGGTAGAGCAAGGTCGACTGTCAACTTCGACACATTTTTTGATAATCTCACTGGATGGCGTGAACTGTCTCTCTTTGGACCTCAACATTTTCCTGCCAGACGGCCCAGACCTAGTGTTTTGGCAATAGTTTGGCGCGCAAAGGTATGACGTCACTATTTCAACCATCAACAAATGCGTGGAACTAAGACAAAGCTTAATATAAAGGAAAAACTAGAGAAGTGTTGGAATTACCCACGATGTCGGAATATACCGCTGTTGCGGTCCGGTCAGCAGGGGTTCACAAAAGCTATGTGAAGATTAGCTCAATCACCCTAAGATACAATACCTAGCTAAGCCTACCTCCAACCCCGAGAACAAATTTGGGACAATGAAACAGGTAATTCCCAAACAACACTATACTTAAACTAAGAACAAAACCAAGAGACATTGTTACAGGATAATTCCTAAGGCACCAAATATCATTCACAGGATAAGCTAGGCAACCACCCTCCAGAGGAAAATCCCGGAGAGGTGACTGCAGTATTACGTTTAGCAATAATGCATAAATCAGCAAGAACACAGAACAAATGTCCAAGCAACATGGCAAGACAAGAAAAGCAAGCACAGTATGGCAAGGCAAACACTTGATACGAGATCTAATAGCTGTAATGAGTCAAATTCAATGTAACAGCAATCAGGAAAGTGAATAAAGCAATTCAAAACAGGGACAAGGTGACATTAAACAGGTAACAAAATAATAAGCAAGCTTTATTGCAGTAAATTAAGTGCATGAGTTTAAAAAGGTCAGGTATCCTATTATTCTTGAGTTGATCAAGTCTTAGCAACTCTCCCTTAGGGAGCAGCTAAGTTGCTCAGCAAGCAGGAACGGGTTGACAATGACTTCCAGTGTAAATGAGCTTCAGGCAATGGGTGCGGGTGAGGCAGGCAATAATGTGCAGACAAGGATCACTAAGCGTGATTAGTGGTATGCTTACTAAGCTTAACCAAGGCTTTTAATAGTGCATGCTACACTTTAAACATGAGGATAAGGCAGAAGCACTTGAACTTGTCAGACATAGCATAAAGTTGCATGCTCTAACTAGTGAATTATTGATGGAGAACAACAACACCTGAAACAAATACAAGGGAAGGAAACATTCATTAATAATAACAGTCACAAAAGCCCTAAATTAAATGGAAAGAGCAAACCATATTAGGAAGCATAACCTAAAGTAAGCAATACACCAAAGTGCCAGGAATGAAAAGCAAGAACCTAATAATCTAAGATTAAGCAAGAGGAGCAATCTGCTCCTCTTCACCGCGTTTACCCTATGGTCACAGATGGAAAATTTGTCTGATGACTGATGTTAATACCAATGTAAAATGATTATTAATTAATAATTAATGTACATGCCATCTGTAACTGTTACTCTAATTTTCAATATTGCTGGCCTTGCAATTCAATTGAACAATCTATTTTGTAAACAGAACTGAACTCAGTAAACTACAGTAAAATTGAAGTAGGGTAAATGCACCATATTCTGACATTGTGGGTAATTCCAATACTTCTCAACTTTTTCCATTATATTAAGCTTTGTCTTAGTTCCACACATGCGTAGATGGTTGAAATATTGACGTCATACTATTGCACGCCAGATTTCCGCAAAACACTAGGTCTGGCTTTAAAATGTTAAGATCCTCAGAGCGAAAGTCCACGTCACCCAGTGAGAACATTGAAAAACTTGTCAAAGTTGATAATTGACCTTGCTCTACCAAATAGTGATTAATGTTTGTGTAGAAAGAATATTATGGTTTGAGACTTTTAAATAAGTCTGTGAATGTATTAGGAATCCTTTAAGTATACTTGTATTTACTGATTTTAAGTGGTAAATAAATTAATAGATGATTAAGTTAAGAGACGGTTTTAGACACATAAAAACTAATTACGATATAGCTCGGAATTAGACACACACAGCTCGGAATTAGACACACACAATTTTGTTAGTTTTGAATTCTAAAGGCTTTTAAATAAATATGGCAACAGTTTTTGACGTTTCATCATTGCTGGCACGTAGTGTGGTGTTTCGAGAGTGACGTTAAGCAATCAGAACTCGAGTTGCTCATACGGTGATCTTTTTATAGCCATTCATTTCTTGCTAAGTCCTTAAAGTGTTGGAATATGGTGTGTTTACTCTAACTCTGCCCAGCAAGACTTGACTTAATCAGTATATGACTATAGGTATGTTGATTTTGGCATAGTCAAATGGGGTAAGGCAGGATCGCAGGCTTCATGGGGTAAGAAAGGACCAGCCCATGGCATGCATTCTAATTGCACTGAATCCAATTTGACAAAAGAATATGTTAGAGCAATCATTGCCTGTCATTTCAGTGTTTGTTTCAACCCTCTTCTGCAAATAATGAATTTCTGGCTAATTTTTAAAGAAAACCTATGTAAAGAAGGCTCACAAAATAGTTAACCCTGTTTGGGAAATAAGCTCTGTCTAATGACAAAAAATTATTTGGCCAGGTTTGTGGATGTAGGCAGGTAACCTCAAGTAATAAGCAACATTTGAGACATACTAGGCATTCCTACCTTCTACCATCGCTGCATGACTTGTATTCTAAAATGGGGTAAAAAAGGACCGGACATGGGGTAAGACGGGACCACTAAATGATCCTGTTTTACCACACAAGTGGTCCTCTCTTACCCTATGGTTTATCAAAAATAGTTTTTAAATGAATATATTATTGTGCAGTACATCTTTTGCTTTATTTTCTTTTTTTCATCTTTTCATCATCATTTTCTTTCATTCATCTTTTGTTTTTTTTATCCTTTGCTCAAACTTCATTATAACTTGTTAGCTGTTTTAATTTGAGAAATTTAGTGCACTATTTTAAATTGCATTAAAGGGATGGAGAAAATAGGGATGTCTCTTCCCATTAGTGAGCTGCAGAACTATGTGCAACATTGGCTGGGAGAAAAGTCGTTGTGTAAAACATGAAAAATAATTATGATCACAACTCAGTGAGAGGGCATGAGCTATGTTTGAAGAAGTGCACTACAAATGCAGTTAGCAAGAAAGCATATGATGTCTGAGACTCAAGTTATTATGCATTGGTTTTATTACCAATTTGATAAATTTTTCAGACAATGACATTATGACACTAATGGAATATACATGAAGCATTTAGCAGTGCTCTACAATGAACCAAAGCCAACCAGGGTTGGCAATGATTAAATCAAAATGATTAAATCATGTGATTAAATCACTTGATTTTTTTATAAAAAATCATGATTTTTTTTTATTTTTTCGATTTTTTTGATTTTTTTGATTTTTTCATATATTGAAAAATATTGAGTGGCAGTCTTTAATTTATATTGAGGTATTGTTATTCATGGTTTAGTATAAATGTACTATGAATGACAAATTGGTATATAAACTTGTTGCCTTTAGTGTGTATTAGGTTCCAATAAATTGGTAGAGTCTGGTAGATTTATAGGACATAAAACTAGTAGATCTATTGATAGTGCTGTGCACTGTGCTGTCAGCTACCTATATCTGTTATGTGGCTCTTCAATGTTTAGGAGATCTGCATTCCTGAAGTGTTTTTTTATATTGAAGCAAGTTAAATGGTCAATATTTAGCTCATATTGAAGATTTAGCTCATATTGTCAATATTTAGCTCACAAACTTTACAAAGCTGATGAATAGACTTATCAATAATTGTTTACCCAAAAATCCCTAAGTGGGAAACACCACCTTGGCCTGTTGGTCATTATTGCAGGCAATAAGTGCCCTTTTTAGCCATCCATTATGATCCATATACTGTTATTGTTAGTAGGCTAATTGCAACCTAAAAAATAACACCTCAAAAAGGCAAAAAAGCTGGAAAAATCAAATAAATCAAAAAAATCATGAAAAAATCAAAAAAAAATAATTGATTTTTGATTTTTTTAAAAAAATCAAAAAAATCGCCAACCCTGAAGCCAACCCACCATTACTAGGCTTAACAAAGTTTTCTCGTGACAACAACCACAATGTGACTGATTTTAGAGTTGACTTCCCGCAACACAAAACAGTAACAAGTGGTTGTTTAATCAAATAATGTGTTTCTAGATGGATAATATTGAATATCAGAATTGTACTTTTATTAAAAACTTTGTAACATAAGAATTACCTGTTGGTCCTGTCTTACCCCAGCCTGGTCCCATCTTACCCTAGTGGGGTAAGATGGGACCAGCTCACTTTTTTCAATCTGTACAGAAAACTATGTTGGATGTCTGAGTTATAGCTTAGAAGCCCATTGCATAAATACACCTTGTGATAGGTTTAGGGTTTTTTAGTTATTCATGGTATAGATGCAACAGGCTTGTTAGTGATTTTGGTACTTTCTTACCCCATCTGACTATACCAATTGAAGCAGGCAGCTGACCAGCCTGACCTTGTAACACATGGCTACTAAAATTAGGAATTTTGTTGGGTAATGAAACACGGGTTACTAAATAAGGGCACAGCAGGTCAGCTATTTACTGCATGATCTGCATCCATTGTTGACAATCTCAATGTTGCTGTTGGCCCAGCAGCGGCCTGCATTGCAGCTGCTGCAATCATTGAAATTTTCCTACTTGTTTCTGAAATTTTGTGGTTCAAACTTGATGAATTTTCAATACATTTGGAATCTTGCTGCCTGATCATGCACTTTTGTTAATAATTAAATAGGAGGTAATTCATCTGGTGGAAATCTTGCAGTTCTGGCAGGAAAGCTTTGGTCATGGCCCTAAAAGTAGATACTTGCCGTGCTTGGTGCGGAAGGTACTTACTCACTCTAAGTACTGTTATGTCACAGAAGATGATGTGCATAATGAACAGCTGTAGCAATGATGTAAATAGCTAGATTAGGTATAAGAATCTGACACTGACAGATCCATAGGATATCAAATAAAATTATGTAATAGACCAGGGGCCGGATTATCAAAACTTCGTAACTTTTTGTACTTACGACAAAAAAGTTATGTGGTACGTAATTACACCCTAATTTTGGCGTTATCAAAACTTCCGTACGCAAGTCTTAGCTAAAAACGTAAATAAAGCGTAAATGTTTTTCCCGCGCAAATGTTTCCTGCTCAAATGTTTTAATAATACCACCGCTAGTATTACGTTGTCATAGCAACGCCACTTGTAAGTTGATTTTGCATACTTACGAAGTTTTGATAATACGGCCCCAGACAATTATAAATATTCTGAGTGTAAAAAAATCCTTTATTAACCACTATGCTCAATAATAATTACATATTGAAATGTCCAAATGCAAGTTTTTGAAAATTTAAAGCATCTGCTGATTACTCATTGGGGAAGAGTCAGATAGGAAGGTGAACCTTTTAATGTATAGTCTCAAAATCATGTATTTTGCCTAGGAATAAAATTTTTTGGCAACTGGAAAAAGAAATATTAGATAACAAAATATTTGCTCAGTGATTATATGTGACATGTGACACTGTTGTGACATGTGACATGTGACTTACATGCCTGTTTGTGCAGACAACATGCTGCTGATGTTCGTAAAACAGTGAGTGCTGCCACTCAAGGACAAGAGCCCCCAGCACCAAACCGATCACCCAGCAACTCAACCATTGCATCTGTAAGTCATCATTATTGTTTGTTCACCTGGGCCTGCGTACCTATCTGATCAGCTTAACAAATTATGAATCTTAATGAATCATTTTTATTATTAGCGCATTTTCTCATTTATGGAAAAAATGAACTATTGTGCTCACCATGTCTGTCCGTCTGTCCGTCCGTGACTTCACGTTTTCATCGACGAGAAAATGCACTCTCTGTCACTCACTGCAGTGAGTACTGAGTTATATTTTACTGTTAAATGGGTTAGATTGTGTGTATTTAATTTAGTTTCCTGTTTGAATTTTTACATTTGCATCCTTCAAATGTATTTATAATAAAGAATTTTTTTTAAGCATTTGTCTATTTATTTGAATTAAGTAAATTATGAGGATTGCATTTGAGAAACCTGAAATGTATGGATTTATGACAGATGTATTAACCTTCATTCAACTTCAGGTAGAGCAATATCAACATGTAAATTAGTTTGTCTTTTGTAATACATTCATATTTAGCCTGAGGAATCTGATTTTGTTTTTAGAATGATTCATCTTTGAGAAATTTATTGAGTGGATTTACCCTTTTTAAGCAATGATTGTTTAAATTTCTTTGCATTTGGACTTACATTGAACTATGTTGCAGCAACTTAGCCTGGTGGAGAGCATAGACTCAGTTGACTATGAAGAGTTCTTGGAGCGTCATCAGTCAGAGCTTGAGCGTGACCCTGACATCAGCGTCTTGTGCTTTCCGCCTGATGATGTCACTGTCTCAACATTTGCTTGGCCTTGTAGGACCTTGCAACCACTGCTGCCACTTCCAAGGTTTGATACTTATTTCTTCAAGTTTTAGATTAACAGGTCTTAGATTGCTATCAAAAGTTCATACCACTACTGTGTTGAACTAATGACCCTGAACTTCACTGTTTGCTTGTTAAACTCTTTATCTCTTTGTTTTCATAAGTAGTGTAATCTCTCAACTGTGTTATTGATGAACTATTTCACAATTTGTTTTGTTTTCTGTTATTGCTCTCAGTAAATTGTTATATTTTCGTGCTAAAAATCTTATTTTATGTACAGTGAAGTTTTGGACGCTCATGTGGGAGAATGTGTGCGGTGCTACTCAAAAGATTTCATCCATGTTACTCGCCGCTACCTCCAGTACTCAAGCTCCTATGCTGGCCGCACTGGCTCCATGCAGGTACTTAAGGAAAGGTCCTTCCACAGCAAGAATATTCTCTCTTAATAATATTATTTCTTGATATCTCTTTCATATAAGATAACATATAACATAACATATTGATCTCGGCGCTGAAACGTAGGCCTGAAGTGGCCTGTCGCTGATTCTTTTCCTTTTCGTACCTTGTTCACAGACGATCTAATATCGTTTCATTTGACCGGATCTTTTCATGACTGACGATAGTTTCAAGTAGCTACTAGACTTCCACTGGGTTCGATATGGTGCTAGGTATTTCAAATCTGAACATATATTTTTCCATGGCTTTATCTAGTCTGCTCTTGAACGCGTTCATACTTGGAGCGCCAACGATGTCATTGGGGAGATGTTCTCATTGAATTTTGCATGAGTATTCATGGCCTAAGTAAACCTATTATGTACGGTATCAATTTAACATCTAAAACACTAAAACAAATTTTAAATGTAATTTTGAAATTTTTTTTTTTGCAGGGAAATTTTTGTGCTGAGTTGCTGGAGCGTGTCTCAAGTTTGCCACTGCCTGAGTATGAAGCAGACCAAGCCATGGATGATGCTGACAACTACAAGGTGATAAAAGCTATACTGGCCTGTGTTTCGAAAAGAATATATTATTCTTCAATTAATTTTTCCATTCAGATTATTTGTGTAGGTTAAGGACTTTAAGGTAGATGGTTGTGTTTATATCCTTCTATATAATATGTATTATTAGCTTGAGGACAGCTGTTGTGCCCTATCACAACCATAGTGGATACAAAGTAGAGGCATTTTTGTTGCTCACTTAGTGTACAAACTTCTTTGCACAGGCTTCTTAGTACAGGCTTCTTAGTACAGGCCCTTGAACTTAGCATATAATCAGACTCTATTGTATGTTACTTGTACTATTAATAAAGTTATGTCAGTGGCGTTTCTCTAACAAGAATCCCGGCCACAGTTGCCTGAGTCGATGTGTAGCTCCCGTCACTCGACCATCTCAGTGGGGAGTAGCGTGGTGAGTGCACCACCCACCGGACCAGCCACTGTGGTGGGGTCAGAATGCAACACGCCGAGGGGCAGCTGGGCTTCAAGTGTCTTTGACCTGCGCAACAGTCAGGGCGACCCTCTCCTGCCGTCACTGCTGCAGCCAACACCGCCTCATCAGACTGATGCCCTTAACGAAAAAGCCAGAGCTGCTAATAGACACGTGGGTTGCAGCAGCTTGTGATAAAACTGTATACTAAGGAGTTTATGTTAGGATTTTGAAAAGAGTTAGCATGTTAAAGTTAGCATTGTGGAATGATGCAATCAAGTACATTCACAACTTGAGATTTATACTAAATTTCATAGTAAAATTTTTTCCTAATTCATGTTGTGCCAGGACTCGCTGCTGCTGCTGTACCCCGAACAAGAAGAAGAAGATCTCATCGAGCGCAGGGTGTTTCCTCCTCCACCCACCCCACACTCAGGACACAGAATACAGGTAACTGTGTATGCTATTAATTATTAGTTATTATCATTAGTTATTAGTTTTATTAGTTATTATTACCTATTATTATCTGTAGTTTTTAAGTAGTTGAGCGTAATATTTTGAACCTGTTCATCTGAATTGTTCAATTCTTAGGCTAAGGTGAATTCAAGTTATAATTACGGCGCGAAATAAGTAATATTGTACTTGCCAAATGAATTGAACTCTTATAATATTTTTATTGATCAGAACAATAACTCTTGCGCAGGTTAAATGCATCAAACTCCAACTTGAGCTTGAAATCGAACCCGTGTTCGCGACCCTGGCTCTCTACGACCTCAGAGAGAAGAAGAAAATCTCGGAGAACTTCTGCTTTGATATGAACCCTGATCCTTTGAAGAAGATGCTCACTTCACATATACCTTACCAGGTGAAGTGCAGATGCATATACCTTACCAGGTGAAGTGCAGATGCATATACCTTACCAGGTGAAGTGCTGATGCATATACCTTACCAGGTGAAGTGCTGATGCATATACCTTACCAGGTGAAGTGCAGACGCATATACCTTACCAGGTGAAGTGCAGATGCATATAAATACAAGAGTGAGCGAAGTAGCGTCAAAATTGCTGACTTTAACAGCTATTTGCTACGAGACCCATAAAGATCTTAGTAAAGTCAATCATTAATGAAATGTTAATTTTTTTACGTTTGAAAGATATAAATTAAAACAACAATAATTTCATTATAAACAAATGCGTATAGGAACTAAATGTTTGATTGCTGTGATTAAATCAAGATGAATAAAATATTTAGTTACCTTCTTCACACTTGAGATGTAATCACTTTTGTTTCTATCACTATATCATTAGCATAAAAATTTCTTCATCTATTATTATATTACTCATTGTCGGGCTGCATATCTTAACTACGTTTAAATCGGGCCCAGTGTATTTATAGTTGTACACGTACACTTGGATATCTGCAGTCATACAAGGGTGAAAAACATGATGATGGAAAGCTGATACTATGACTGGTCATGATTGCAGGACATCAGCACACTGAGCAGGACTTGCATCCTGGAAATATGATAGCGGTAAACTGATACTATGGTTGTTCATGATTGCAGGACATCAGCACCCTGAGCAGGACTTGTATCCTGGAAATATCCTACCCTTCCCCTGACGTGTTCCTGGTGGTGCGTCTTGAGAAGGTCCTGCAGGGGGACATTGCAGACTGCCTCGCGCCCTACGCCAAAGACGACTCCGTACGTATTACCATTATTTTATTCATTTTTTATATAGGTATGTATAATTATTCTTATCTTATACTTCTTCCCTTGTGGCCCGCAAAAAATTTTTGCAGTCTACGCTCATTTGAGTCAATGCTCTCTCGGTATTTTGTTGCTCATCAGATTATTTTTTATCAAGCTTGCCTCTTGTTTTCCAATTCTTGTTTAGAAACGTTTGACTACCAAATTTGATTTTAAAAAATTTCAAATTGTGTTGTATGATTGAAATATAGTGAAGCAGCAATATTGGGGTGCAGCAATACATTTGCTTTATACCAGATGACTGCTGTTGACTAAATTTGTTAATTTTCTTAAATACATTCATCACTTATAAATTATTATAGCATCAACAACGTCTGTGTATCTATAGACAGAAGGTATAAATCCACAACGGCTGTGTACCTGTAGATTGAGGGTATAAATGTTGCATCTTTTGACAGTTATGCATCTGTAGACTTAATGTATAAATCAACGGCGGTCATGTAACTGTAGACTGAGGGTATAGGTGTGGCAAATTTCAACAGGTGTATATCATTAGACTGAGGCTATAAGTGTGGCAACTTTGTTCAACCGCTGTTGTGTATCATTAGACTGAGGGGTTATGAATGTAGCAACTTTCGACAGGTGTGTATCATAAGACTGAGGGTACAAATGTAGCAGCTTTCGACAGGTGTGTATCATAAGACTGAGGGTACAAATGTAGCAACTTTCNGTGTGTATCATTAGACTGAAGGTATAAATGTAGCAACTTTCTTGTCCAGCAGCACCGTGACAAGCTGAAGGCAGCGGCAGTATCGTGCTGTGAGCGGCTAGGCAGGTACCGCCAGCCTCTGGCCTGGACAGCCATCAACCTCATGAACATCTTCTCGGGAGCGCACGGCACTGATGGAGGGGACGCTGCTGCTGCTGCAGGAGCAGGTGCTGCCTCCACTTCTCTGCCTGGAGCTCTTGGTAAGTACTTGCTGCTTCAGCCCCGAACTAGTTTTTCAATTGATCTCTTTTTTTGCTCGATTTCATTTTAGTGGTTTAATTTTGTAGGTATTATTCTAGTATTAATAGCTTCTTGAAGATTATTTTGGAATAACCTTAAAGGCATCTAATATTTTATTTGAAGTTTTTTTCGTCATCTCCAAAGGAGGATTTTTCTAGCATTATTTTGCTAACAATTTTCTAAGATTCTATAATACTACGACACTTTTACCAGAACCAAACCCGGTTCCTGGAAAAGCAATTTAACGAAAATACGTACCGTAATTGAAGAATTGTTTTTGTTCGTATTAATGGTAACTATTGAATCGAGCTCTCAACCGTAACATGTAAAGTTTTTTTAATATTTAATATTTATATTGAATATTTATGTTTGTGCCCTTCATTGAGACTTGTTGCGTGAATTATCAAATGGCTAGAGAAACTAAGCTCCACAGAAGCTTTGTATAAGAAAGACATAATTTTTAGTCAAACATATCGTTTGATGTTAGTAAATGTTTTGCTTAGGAGCAACCTAAGATAGTCAAGTAATAATGCCCGTTAATTTAGTTCATATATGTTGTGCAGAGCGCAAAGGCAGCGTGAGCACGGGCAGCCTGACAGGGGCAGAGGAGAGCACCATCACCGTGACCACGACTGCGTCAGGAGGCGGCAGTGGCAGCAACAGCGGCAGCATGAAGCGTAAACAACAGCAGGGACCTGCTACCGCCTCCATCGCCGACGGCCTGGCTACTCTTCAGGTCTGTCAATTAATATGCATGGCTATGATATAAAGGGTGAAATAATTTATAGTAAATAATGCAAGATTTTAATTTGAAAAAGATAAGAAAAGTTTGATAATGATTAAAATGAAATCATACAAGGGTTATTAAAAACCAAGAAGACGGCACAAATGATATGCCGTCTTGATGTGTTTACAGTAATGATGTGTTTGTAATAATGACGTGTTTACAGGAATGAGGTGTTTACAGGAACAGGAATGAGGTGTTTATATTAATGACATACCGTACTGAGTTAATTTTTTTTCACAGTCTGGCTCGCTGCCGCGCCGCGGGTCCATGGAGCGCCGCAGCTTCCAGGAGAAGAGCAGGAGTTGGTCGACGGCGGAGTTCGCGAGCTGCCTCGACTCCTTCAGGCCTGTCACGCTCACCGTGTCGTCCTTCTTCAAGCAGGTGACTGGGCCGCCTTTATGGCGTTGTTGTCACGCTCATCGTGTCATCCTTCTTCAAGCAGGTGACTGGGCCGCCTTTATGGCGTTGTTGTCACGCTCACCGTGTCGTCCTTCTTCAAGCAGGTGACTGGGCCGCCTTTATGGCGTTGTTGTCACGCTCACCGTGTCGTTCTTCAAGCAGGTGACTGGGCCGCCTTTATGGTGTTGTTGTTGTCACGCTCACCGTGTCGTTCTTCAAGCAGGTGACNCCCCTTTTTTGTTGTTGTTACGCTCACCGTATCGTTCTTCAAGCAGGTGACTGGGCCCCTTTTTTGTTGTTGTTACACTCACCGTATCGTTCTTCAAGCAGGTGACTGGGCCCCTTTTTTGTTGTTATTACACACTTACACTCACCGTGTCGTTCTTCAAGCAGGTCTCGAGTGCCGCTTAAGCTTCTAAGTTTCATCCGTTCTTTTTTTTTGTGCTGTCATCCACTAGAGGGGATTTTATGCTGCATCAAATTTCTTAGTTTGGGCTACAAGTCTCACGATGTCAGGTCATTTTCAGCCAACTGGTTTTGATTCGAGAACTATTTTAACGTTGCTTTTGGCTGTTGTGCTGTATAATTATATAAGTATGATATGTATAATGATCTCATTAAAGTTTTATTTTCTCAACATTTTTTGTAAACTCTTGAATGTGATGAAATTTTCTACCATCCAAATTCCAGCATCTTCTCTGCCTTTCTATGATTGCATTGCAATTAAAACGCAACATCTACTAAGAGTTTATTCAAGTACTAATAACAAATGCCACTGGTTCCTGGTTTCTTCTAGCAAAATATGATGAATTTTGGTGTCATTTTTTAATTTTTAAATATGCGATTAATTTGTGCTACAGAAGAGCGACAATATGCCTTTATTCCGGGCCAAACAGAGTCATGATCATCAACATAATTTAATGATAAAAAGTGGATCATACAGAGTCAGGATCATCAACATCTGGACAAAGCCACTCATTTCTCTGATTTTATGGAAGGGGGCGTATTTTACTCTTGCGATCTGTGACCATGACAGGGTGGAGACAGGTTATGGTATGATAAGTTCCTGTCTGATGGGAGACCAGCGCGGAATTGATGGAACAAAATTAACTGACGGGACAAGAAGCTATAACACTTTACTATATATGAACAAAATGACAGAGCACAGGGGCAGGAAGTGCATCGCTATTTGAACAAACCCACGTTCATTTCACTGCAATGTGTATACTCAATATTAATGCATGTTATCATTACAGGAGGGAGACAAGCTACGGGATGAAGACCTGTACAAGTTCCTTGCAGACCTGAAGCGGCCGTCGTCGCAGCTCAAGAAGAAATGTCTGCCTGGCAGACTAAAGCTTGACATCTCACCCGTCACCCACACACCCAAATACTGCCTCACCCCTGAGCTCGCCAGAGTTAACCCTTATCCTGGTGAGACCTGAGTACTCCTACTTAACCCTTGAGTGCATTAAGGGGTTGATTTATTATCCTGGTGAGACCTGAGTACTCCTACTTAACCTTTGAGTGCATTAAGGGGTTAATTTATTATCCTGGTGAGACCTGAGTACTCCTACTTAAGGGGACCGCCTAACCTAAAATTTTCAATTTAGGCGTTTTCCACTTTTTGGGCTCATCTTAAAGCTCACTTTTCAACGCATTCAACGGTACCAGAATCATCCCTGTGCGTCTAAAAATGATTTCGTGACAGCTTCCCAAAGAAGGGCAGTTTTTAGGCCCTTTAATATTTTACGTTTGAATGTGAAGTTTCATGATGATCGGATAATAACTTTAGGAGTTATAGGCTATCTCCAATTTAGGTTAGGCGGTCCCCTTAACCTTTGAGTGCATTAAGGGGTTAATTTATTATCCTGGTGAGACCTGAGTACTCCCTAATTAACCCTTGGGTGCCTTTACCCATTTAAGGGTTTAATTCGTTGACATGGTGAGACCTGAGTACCCTCTCTTAATCCTTTATCCATTTAAGGTATTGATTCATTATTCATTTTTGTACATTGCATTAGTTTCACTAACCATTCATAATTATTTGCAGTTGCTTATTGATTTTGGACTTAGACTAATAATCGTGATTAATTAAACTGAATTTTACAACTAATTATAATTAGTAACAATACTTCGGTAGTAGTTTTCTGTGCCCCTTGAATTCGTAATCCAGATGAATCCTTGTTTTCTATGACATATATCTGGCGCTTATCTTTTATTTCTATACTAATAATAATAATCCATATTGGCCAACACAATCTAACACCACAATATTTAAAGGAAATTATTCACGTGACTCATTTGCTAATTTGAACACCGTTTCCGTCATGTGACTTGTAGCACTAAGAAAACTATCATTATTCTTTCATCATGTGACTTGTAGCACTAAGTAAACTATCATTATTCTTTCATCTTATGACTTGTATCACTAAGTAAACTATCATTATTCTTTCATCTTATGACACGTATCACTAAGTAAACTATCATTATTCTTTCATCATTTCCACGTGCTGCAGGAGGACCTGAGGTCATAACAGAAGAAGGTGAGGAACACAGAATGTTTTATTTTTTAATTGACAGAGGGAAAAAAAATTGTATTACTGTCTGAATTTCTGCTGCATCCCTCACCCCCGTTACTATCCCCGCACCTCCGTTACTATCCCCGCACCCCCGTTACTATTCTTCGTCTGTTCACTCGATGTATTTTTTAGTTCGCACGAGCTTTTCGTTTTAAAATTCATAACCAAATTTTATTGGAAACGTGCATGATGAATTCAATGCACTCTTATCTCCAGGACTGATGTTGATCATTTATTTCTCCTTAATGCATGAATTTTTTTCATGCAATTCCATTCTCCGTACAGTCTTGCCAACTGCCCACTCGTGCTGCATTCTTATGTTTGTCATGTATTTTGATAATTTTTAATTAATGGGAATATTTCTTTAATAAATGCTCGTTATATTTTCCATCTCCTTGTTTTCATAAGGAGTGTAGTCCCTCTACTTTAAAATTGATGTACTATTTCTGAAGGTGTTAAGTGTAAAAAATTATATGGACTCCCCCGAGCCCAAACTCTCGCTGCATTTTAGTGCTATGGTTTATTTCTTTATGATCGTTCCATCAAGGTCGCTGTGTTCCATTACTTGTTGCATACAAAACTTATTCAGTTGAGGTCTCTTTACTAAACTATTTTCCTGGTATTTTTAATCAAACATTTAACTTCTGTAAATCCAAATTCCGAATCCGTAATCCTTTTATAAACATTACCTGTATATCTTTTGCTGTTTTTATTTGCGGAAAAAATTACCGTTATATCTTTTGCGTTTTTTTCCCGAATAAAAAGCTTATGTGTACATCTTCTGATGTTTTTTCACGAATAAAAAGCTTATGTGTACATCTTCTGATGTTTTTTCACGAATAAAAAGCTTATGTGTACATCTTCTGATGTTTTTTCACGAAAAAATGTTGATTTGAATGTTTTCTAGCCTTTTTTTTGCACCTTTGGACTTAGCAAAGCTTCCATGGCATATCTTCCCCTTCCAGACGAGAAGTGTCGCCCTGTCAAAGAGGTGCTGGAGTTCCCCCCGACTGACGTGCTCTCGCCGCACTACAACTACAGGAACCTTCTCTACATATACCCCAAGGACCTGAACTTCACTAATAGACCAGGTCAACATATAAGCGTGAACTTTATTTTTTATTATTTATTTAATCACACACGAGTAAACAAAACATCAAGATAGAACTTCAAGAATTGAAAAATGATCGAGTTAAAAAGCTTCTAATATGCCACGTCAGAACCTGAATTTGATGGAACCATTGAGCTTTTTTGTGCAGGTTTCCTTCTTGAATTTAATATAATTAATATTTCTGTTTGTATGAATGTTGATAATCTTGTATATATTCCTACAAACTCAATTGTAGTACCTATTAAAGCAGCTCAAAAAGTTTGTAAAAGACTAGACATAATTACTGTTTACCCCTTAATTTGTTTACTTGTTTGACTTTTCTATAAAATCTTGTAAATTTTTTCAAATTTACAAGATTTTTTTAAAATCCCGTGTTTTTTTTTAAACAACATTAATTGTCATGTCTGTCCATCCTTCCATGCATAACATAACTTCCTGTCACACTCTTGAATTAAAATATGTATGTTGAAATAAGTGGTGACTTCGACATCAAGTTTGATGACAGATTTTTGAGTAATGAATTCCCATATTTTCTTCTTAGTTATTATGATGAATTTGTCGACTGTGATTTGTTTTTCTGATGTACACAATTTTTTAAAACTCTCAGCAATAGATATATTTTAAAATTTATAATTTGTACTTGCTTATTCTATCCTTATAAATTCAAATTTCTGCCTAAGCTACGATCGCCCACAAATATGATTTCATCAGAGACGCTTCTAGCGTAACCGTTGGTGTCCTATACATTTGTGTTGATAAAAAGAGGAGAGTCTATAAGAAGGAAATAAATGACTGCTATAAATCTGGTACTGGTAGTTAGTCTTTCAATTTGTTATAATTATATAATTTATTCTTCTGTGCTGATTATATTTAAGCTGTAAATAAATGTTATTTAATACTTGTGACGTGTACAGGCTCAGCCCGTAACCTGGCGGTGAAAGTTCAAGTGATGGAAGGCGAAGACGAGAGCGCCGCCCTCGCCTGCGTCATGGGGCGCAGCAGCTGCCCTGAGCTGTCCACTGAAGCCTTCACCGCCGTCACCTACCATACCAAGTCCCCTGACTACTATGATGAGGTACATACCAAGTCCCCTGACTACTATGATGAGGTACCATACCAAGTCCCCTGACTACTATGATGAGGTACATACCAAGTCCCCTGACTACTATGATGAGGTACTCCAAGTCCCCTGACTACTATGATGAGGTACACTCCAAGTCCCCTGACTACTATGATGAGGTACACTCCAAGTCCCCTGATGAAGTAGCTTCCCGTCCACTGCATGTCACTTTGGGATGTTGGTGTTGGGTTGGGATGAATTGAATTGCAAACGATTGAAAGCGTTCACTGTTAACCGCGTTGATTTTATTCATTTCGTTTGCATTTATTACCTTATATATCTGAGGGGTAATTGCCACTTTGGCGACTCAATAAAGATTTTGTAGTTGTCAGATCTTGTGGCTGTGGCACGAAAGATTTATCATGTTGTTTATTGATCATGTCTGTTTCGCTGGCTTTGAAATTATAAATTGTTTTTTCAAACTGTTGCTTGCTGGAATAAAGTTTTCGTTTTACCCGTGTTAACTGATTTTTTAATGTACAACTATATAAAACCAGCGACAGAAACATTTAATTAGATGGGTTTTAAGAAGATATTTACCTTTTTCTGGCCATAGAGCTTGAACATTCTGACAATATTGATAAGTGCGGCGATCGTCCGGTGACGTTTCCACCACCACAAATACGAATGTGTTGGAAATGTGTTATGGAAGCGAATGTGTAGGAAGTGAAGAATATAAAATTTGCTACAAATGTCTTTTGTTCTGATACTGTTCATTATTCTCACTCTAGTGATCATTCGAATAGAGACTTGAGTGACATCGGAATTTTTATGCGCAGGGTAATTATTTCTAATTATTTCTCTGCGCAGTGTAATTATTTCTATGGAGTGTAATTAATTATAATTATTTCTATGCAGAGTGGAATTATTTCTAATTATTTCTCTGTGCAGTGTAATTATTTCTATGGAGTGTAATTATTTCCAATTATTTCCAATTCTTATTTCTATACAGAGTGTAATTATCTCTTATTATTTCTATACAGAGTGTAATTATCTCTTATTATTTCTATACAGAGTGTAATTATCTCTAATTATTTCTATGCAGAGTGTAATTATTTCTAATTATTTCTATACCTATGGAGTGTATTTATTTCATTACAGAGTGTCATTATTTCTAATCATTTCCATACAGAGCGTAATCATTTCATGTCTGTCCAGATAAAGGTGAAGCTGCCAGCAGTGCTGGGTGACCAGCATCATCTGCTCTTCACTTTCTACCACGTGTCCTGCCAGCGCAAGGCGGACGAGAAGACCATAGAGACGCCCGTAGGATACACGGTAAGTCTAGTCTTAGTTATACCCTGTACGAAAAAAACTTCACAACCAATTTAAAAGCAAAGAAAATTCCAAGCAAATTCACCATATCGATATTGAATATTGATATTTCAATGTCGATATGGTGAATTTGTTTGGTATTTTCTTTGCTTTTAAATTCCTTGTGAACTTGCGATATAAACAGACTGACAATATAAGTACAAAAAAAAAATTCTTTCAATAATATCCTGCTTCATTGTTTTTGTATAATAAGCGTTAGTTTCTTTAGTTATATATAGTCCCTAGTCAGTTTTGCCTTAGATTATTTTTTTAATTATTACTTACTAACATTGACGTAGTAAGCATGGAAGTCAAAATTTCATTATTTAATTGCTTTAATAAGCCATGTTGAACAGACTTGAATTGTTCCTTGGATTTGTCTTCTTTTTGGTTACCAGGACTAGGAAGTAACGCGTATTTTTTTCAAGACCATCAACTTCATTTATCATTTTTGTTTAAAATACTTGTCGTGTTTATGTATTGCTAACTGTGAGATTTCATTTGTTTATATCTTGGAGTTATAGGAGTTATATATATTTGGAGTCGAAATTATGTTAGATGTTTGCTAGCCCAATATTTCTTTGTTCACTCGAAATTTCGGTGTCAGAGCGTTTCGTAGCCAGTTTACCGCCCGTAGGTCTTAACTCCAGTCGAAATCGATTTTCACGATGGCAAAATTTTAATGTTGCAAGTGACATTAATAAACTCGATGGTCAACTTTTGGGAGGCTTGAAAATTTGAGTGAAATAAAGTAAATAATTAGTGTAAATCAGTTTTGGATCTTCGACGACTGACTAATTATTATAACAAGATCTTTTGGAGTCAGATCACAGCAGAAGAGTTTAACTCGTTGTGAACACCGGAATTGCGAACTGAGGTCGGCTAGATACTGCATAGCAATCCAAGATTCAACACTAACCGTGTTTATACATATACATATTACATAATACATATTATTCAGAGTTAATAATATTCATTATTAACTGTGATTAATATTATCAGCTGTTGATATTTATATGATATATAAATACTGCTAATATATTAGCTGTTTTTATATACTATCATTATCCGTATTTATATATCATTATCGGTTATAATTAACCATGTTTGTTGTGTAGTGGCTGCCAATTTACCGCAACGGTTCGCTGAGCTGCGGATCTCACTGCCTGCCCGTGATGTCGGAGAAGCCCCCCGCCAACTACTCGTACATCACCCCACACATCCTCCTGCCTGGCACCAAGTGGGTCGACAACCACAAGGGCATCTTCAACGTCGTCCTCCATGCCGTCTCCACCGTCCACCCCCAGGTATAATTTACATTTCAGGAAACGTTTTTTTCAAAATAATTCATGTTAGACTGTCCATCCTCCTGTGAAATTTCGATGAAAAGCGTTCTTTATTTTCGAAATAATGCATGTTGCACTGTCCACCATGAATTTAAATATCCGTGTAAATTATCATCAAGAGATTATAAAATTTAATAATTAATTATTGTCAAGAAATACCTGTTGATTCATTAAAACAAGAAAAAAATGTGTCAAGAAATGAAACTAATTAATTCATTTCCTAATTATTGCAATATTGTATGCTTATGTCTTGAAGATTAACCACGTACCAAAATCACTTGAAAATTTCAAGTAATGAATTTACCTGAAAATTCAAGTTAATATATCACTTGGAAACTTATGTTAATAATAGTTTTGCAATGCCATATCTGGGCTCCTCCCATGTGAAGAACGCATTTCCCAAAGCGTCGTGTATAAAACTACATTGGAATTTATCTGCATTGGCTCTCTCGTAGAATTAAAAATTAAAATCCCAATTACACCCAAATTCTCTTGGGATTAAACCTTGAATTCAGTGCTTAGTTGGGAGCGAATTAACTTTTATTTATAGTATCTTTTGTACTGATTAGTTAGTGAACTGATACATGATAATTGACAAATTGAGACTTTGATATTTGATTATTGTTTTATTTTTGTTTAATAATTGATAAGAATATACTTGATTATTGACGACGCTGGTGTTTGCAACAGTGTCCGGAGCTGGACCACTTCTTCGACCTCATCAAGATGGTCGAGGAACGCAACATCCCCGCCAGAATTGGGGAAGAGAAAATTGAAGCTGAAATAAAAAAAGCGTAAGTTGTTTCTCTAAAGAAAACACATTAAATCCGCCAGGAACTGAGTTGATGTTACTTTTCTTTTTGACGGTAAAATTCATGTTTAATCCAACGCGTGAATTACTATTGATAGCATTGTATTGAAGACATCGTATTGTGGGCATTGTACTAGAGACATTGTATTGAATACACTATTAAAGGCATTGTATTGTAGGTATTTATTATGTAGGTAGCTGGTGCAGAGTACTATTATATTGTAGGCATTGTATTATAGGCAATGTACAGCAGCTGTACATGCTTAAGGAATATGATAGTGAAGCTATAGCCAACGATAGCTATTAACCACGTTGCCACAGTTTCATCTAGGGAATCTTCATCGGTTAGTACCAAATTTATTATTTATTAACGATATAAAATTCTATAATATAATTTTAATTCGGAATATATAATAAATTTAAATTACAGGAGTGTTTAGATACTTGAATGTCGTTACTCAATATTTTCAATATCAATATTTTCAACATTATTAAGAACTGTGTTGTGTTGCAGACTGGTGGAGCTGGTGCAGAGTTCTGGTCGTGCTCTGGTGCAGTTCTTACCTGTTCTGTTCGACCGGCTGCTGGTTCTGCTGGTGAGGCCCCCGCTGCTGCAGGGTCTACAGGCGCCCCTACAGCTCGCCGCCGCCTCCTTCAACGCCATCGTCGCCTGCGTCGCTGCCATCGTGGCGAGTGCTAAATTTTTTATTTTTATATTCTATTCTTTACAAGAGTGCTGCTTATTTTATTTTTATTATATTCTATTCTTGACAAGAGTGCTGCTTACTTTATTTTTTATTATATTCTATTCTTGACAAGAGTGCTGCTTATTTTTTATTATATCCTCTATTCTTTACAATAAGTTTCCTATTTATTATGTTTTTCGTTGAAATTTCATTTTATTTTCTTCTTTAAGAAATGTATTATTTATATTTTTTATTTTATTTGACCTTGTAGTTTTATTTCTCTTTCCTAGAAGTGCATTATTGTTTAATTGATAATTTGTACTTTTTAAATTTATTTAAGTTAATTTTTTAATAATTTATGATTGATTTTCACTTAAGGTTGAGACCGCTTCATGAGGAACAAGTTATGGAATTAGAATTATACATCAATATTCTATTTATTCATTGTAAAGTAATATTTTTTAGTTAAATGTTTTTTCTGTACAGTACAGAATATATAAAAGGCATTATACTTAGTTATTTTAGTATAATATTCTACAATAATTAGCTTTGTGTTTAATTAGTATAATCTTTTATTCTAAGATCAATACTCTCATATTTAATGAATATAATATAATCTATAATTATATTATTAATTATTAATCATTATTGATTAATTAATAATAATCTAATTGATAATTATTAGTAATTATTAATAATATTTATATCAGACATGTAGCATTTGGCTTACATTTTTGATATTTAATCAATACTGATTAAATAATAATATATATAATTTTTTAATATTGCTTATTATTTAATTACCTATTCATTACAGAACGTACTGGAGAACAAGAAAACGTTAATATGATTATCAATAGTTAATCATTAATAATTAAATATTGATTATTAAATAAATCTTCATTACAGAACGTGCTGGAGAACAAGAACGACCAGCATGGGCGCAACTCTGTGCTGCTCACCTACATCGCCTACCTCGCCACCATCCCTCACCCCACCGACCCCCCGCCCCCCATCCAACATCCCGGGGGTCCCAAGCGCCCCCACCCTTCCGTGGTTCAGCCCCCCGCTGCCCCCACCTCCCCCACCCACTCCACCGCCAGCGGGGGGAGTGCCGCCAGCAGCACAGGGGCGCCTGGTGGGGGAATTTGATCATTTGTTTTAATAAATAAATAATTAATTATTTAACTATTAATCGATGTTTATCGTTTTCATTTCAATTAAAAAATTTTAAATTTATTTTATTTTTCAATTAAAAAATTTTCTATTTATTAATAAATGAATTATTAATCGTTTTCATTTCAATTAAAGATTTTTCAATTAATTAATAAATGTACTATGTTAATAATTTTCATTTGCAAGCTTAATTAATTAACCAGCCTAAGGTATTAATTGCTTTAGGTTTGATTAGATTTTGTGTGGTTCTTCAAATTAAATTTTGGAATACTTGCCGTATTTATCATGTAAATATTCACGTTGAAGTTGTGTGCAGGGATGTTATTCATACTTTAGGCTGATTTTACATCTTTAACTTCATCCGTAACATTTAAGCATAACCTTAACAACTGCTATATTATTTCATTATAGTATTATTAAATAAAATAATTCCATAATATTACTGTACATAATTGAATTAGCTGAACTTGAGTTGACTGCATACGTATACAAGCTCACACCCAGATAAATGAATGGGTCATATTATACGAATACTGACACACTTTGTACTTGTAAGTAGCACTGATGCACCTTCTTGCCATGCCAAGGCAAGATTGGCAAAAGTGCGTCACTACTTAGACAAGTGCTTACTCATTTTTAGCTCATTTTCTCATTTATGGAAAAAATGCGCTATTGTGCTCGCTATGTCTGTCTGTTCGTCTGTCCGCCTGTCTGTCCGTTCGTCTGTCCGTCAGTGACTTCACGTTTTCGTCGACGAGAAAATGCGCTCTCTGTCACTCACTGCAGTGAGTACTGAGTTATATTTTTGTGACTGCTGGCAAAAGTGGACAAATGCTCACTCATTTTTGTGGCTGCAAGCAAAAGTGGACAAAGGCTCACTCATTTTTGTGGCTGCAAGCAAAAGTGGACAAAGGCTCACTCATTTTTATGTATGCAGGAGGCACATCGCAGGCCTCCATGGCCTCCTCAGCGTCGTCCTCGACGAGTTCCTCAGGCTACGTGGGGCCTGTGATCAGCGAGTCCCCTGTGGGGATCACGGCCTCCCTTGGGGGGGATGATGCCCTCCATGGAGCCTGTGCCTCCTCTGGCTCCATCCACAGCCTTCATCCCTCTGCTGGAGGAGTGGCCATGCAGCCCTCGCACCGGAGGTATGTTGCTCCATTAGCTATACTTTTAGGTTATAACTTTAATTTCATAAGGTTATAATTATACCCAATAGGAAGTTTATGAGGTTATAATTTTGTTTTAAACCTCTGTGCTACATTTTTTATTTGATACTTCTACTGAATTTTCTTTTTGATATCAGATTTGAAGCATTTGACTTGTAAATTTTCTAAGTTATCAAAATTAAAAAAAATTTATACCTAAAATTCTTGAGTTGATTCACATTTTCAACACTATGATCATAAATATACTTCTAATCCTCTAAATAATCCTAAATTTTGTAGTCACGAATGGTTTCTCTTACAATAACGACCAAATGCTTTTATTACAAGCTGTTATTTTTACTGTCATTTCCAAATTTTAATTTCGAGTGCTACATAAGTAAGATAACCCTTCAAATGCTTTATAAGAAATATTGTACCTATATTCAAAGCGTCGCATTCCATTAAAATGTCATTTGGTAACCTGCTTTTCGATCTGCCTGCGCCAGCAAGAAGTTTGTTCAACTCATTGAAAAGACAAATGAGAAAATTAACCATAAAATACATTCTCTGATATACATATTAAATAAAACTTACCTTACATAAAAGAAAGGCTTCTGCTGAACTCATTAATATTATATTATAAAGCTTATATAAATGCAAAGACAAATGTCAAACAAATATTATTTATACATGCGTTCATGATATCCAGCTGACACTGTTTGAACATTAATCATATTTTTCTTTTTGCATTTAGTTAATATAAACCAACGTTAAATAGTAACAAACAATTATTATTTATACACGCGTTCATGAGATCCACGTAACATTGTTTTAACATTAATCGTATATTTTTTTGCATTTAGTTACTAAATACCAATGTTAATTAGCAGCAAAACCACATAACCTCTCCTGTACTGCAGGAGCACCAGCAACCCAGACTTGGGGGTAGAGGCTGACGCAGGAGCTTTCTTCTCTCGAGGCCTCGACAGGACTAATTCCATGAGGACCGGTACGTTCTGCTGGTCCTTTGTAAATACTTAATTGCTATAGGATCTTAATTTAATGTTTAGCGACCACGTGTAAATAGCGAATTGCTAGGATCTTAATTTAATGTTTAGCGACCACGTTACTTGCGAGTGCAAAACGCCACATTGCTCAAATTTATTCATTGAGAAATTTTGACAAACGACATATACGTATAAATATAAATCAGCTTCATATATGAACGCATAAACGCAGTTTTTTTAGGCGACTTACACGTACAACCGGACATAAAAGGGATACCGTAATACTGCTGATTAGCTAAAAACAGATGAATACGCCATTTTTAAAATAGACACAGTTACTTGTACAGCTAATTTGCCAAACGCAAAAGGGATAATATTGCTGATTATTTAGCGATTACAGAAACGGGGAAGTTGCGCTTCCTTGTATCTGTAATGCTATGGGGATATGTTGCTAATTGGTGTCATGAGAGCTACTGATTATAACAATTTAAATTGTTCCTTATAAATCAAAGCTCTTGTCTCCTATATTGAAACTTAGAAAAGATTGAAAACTTGAATAAACTAATCTTCTGCTGAATATTCTTAGGATAGTTATAGGTTAACTGCGCTCAGTGCGCTGCATTTATTAAAATGATCTACGTAAATCATTTGCCTTCTTAGAAAATAGTTGTAGTGAAGGTTAATGCACAAATTTTTCTGTTATCTTAGTTTACAAATCTTTGTAGGAAGTTACTTTATTTTGTACACATTTCACACTTTGAGGTGAAGAAGTTCTGTACATTTTTTTTAAGCAATCGGCCGTTATTCACTTTGAGATGCGAAAGTTTTCAACACTTTCCAATTAAATGCGGTAAAGTTGTTGATATTTTTCCCATGAAGTGAAAAATTGAGGAAATGTTTCACGTTGAGGTAAAAACTGGTGTTGTGGTAAGTATTTTTCATGCACATGTTCAGTTAAGTTAACATTCACGCTACGTTCACTCGCACGCTGCTTGCTCGGCAGAGGAGGGAGGGGCGGCGCCCCGGAGCGGACCAGGTAACAATACCCTCTCTTACATCCGCATTGTTGTTGTTTATTATGCATTATTACGTATTATAATTTGTCCCTGTGCATTATTATTATTTATTCCGCATTATTACGTATTATAATTTGTCCTTGCGCATTATTATTATTTATTCCGCATTATTACGTATTATAATTTGTCCCTGTGCATGATTATTATTTATTCCGCATAATTACGTATTATCATTTGTACCTGCGCATTATTATTGTTTATTCCGTATTATTATTTTCATTTTTTCCCTGCACATTATTATTCATTTGGCCATGCCGGTGACTGGAATCTATGTTATTTGTGTTAAATATTATGTATAATGTCGTATATGCTTGTATTTTCTAAGTTTTGATTATTCTTATACTTCGTTTTTTAATAGATCATTTCTTTTATTCCCAAATTTGTATTTGTGCGGATAAGCGTCTCACATCTTATGATTCCAATCAATATTAACTAATACGTACATAATAGAATAAATACTTTTATAATAGAGACACAATTTGGCTAAAGTTAAAACTGTACTTCATCCTTAAATACTGATAATTATATAACATTGTTAGTCATTTCAGGGCCGATCGTTACTATTGTGCCTTTCAAAATTTCATGCCTTATCATCTCTCGTTTGAGTAGTTCTCATAATCTACGGTTATCCCTCATTTGCTCGTTGTTATCGCTCATTAGCCCGTTGTTATCCCTCATTAGCCCATTGTTATCCCTCATAAGCTCGTTTCTGTCCTTTGTTAGCTCGTTGATCCTTCATTAGATCGTTGTTATCCCTCATTAGCCCGTTGTTATCCCTCATTAGCCCGTTGTTATCCCTCATTAGCCCGTTGTTTTCCCTCATTAGCCCGTTGTTAACCCTCATAACTCGTTTCTATCCTTTGTTAGCTCGTTGATCCCTCATTAGATCGTTGTTATCCCTCACAAGCTCGTTGTTATCCCTCATTAGCTTGTTGTTATCCCTCACAAGCTCGTTGTTATCCCTCATTATCTCACTGTTATCCCTCATAAGCTCGTTGTTATCTCTCATTAGCTCGTTGTTATCTCTCATTAGCTCGTTGTTATCTTTCATTAGCTCGTTGTTATCTTTCATTAGCTCGTTGTTATCTCTCATTAGCTCGTCGTTATCACTCATTAGCTCGTTGTTATCCCTCATCCGCTCGTTGTTATCCCTGACAAGCTCGTTGTTATCTCTCATTCGCTCGTTGTTATCTCTCATTAGCTCGTTGTTATCTCTCATTAGCTCGTTGTTATCTCTCATTAGCTCGTTGTTATCTCTCATTAGCTCGTTGTTATCACTCATTAGCTCGTTGTTATCCCTCATTAACGTGCATCTCGCTATTTCTTGCTCGTGTTACCGGGCAAGTCGCACGCTGTTGTCCCCAGCTGATATAGCAGCTGCACACTTCACCTTACGTGTCACCTCTGGGTGCCTTCAGCGAGACTCCAGCATCATCCCCTCACCCCCTACCTCCTCCTACACGTCTCTTCCTGACCCTCGTCTCCCCCTGACTCTCGTCTTCCTCTGACCCTCGTCTCCCCTGACCCTCGTCTCCTCCTGACCCTCGTCTCCCCCTGACCCTCGTCTCCCCTGACCCTCGTCTCCCCTGACCCTCGTCTCCTCCTGACCCTCGTCTCCCCCTGACCCTCGTCTCCCCCTGACCCTCGTCTCCCTGTGACCCTCGTCTCCCTCTGACCCCCGTCTCCCCCTGACCCTCCCCTCCCCCTAACGCTGTCCCCGGGTCCGCAGGGTCCAGCAGCACGTACGAGCAGCTGAGCCTGGCCGTGAGTGGGCCATGTCCCGCGGGCGGGTGTCGCCTCGTGCACGAGGAGCTCGTGCTGCAGTGGGTCTTCGCGGGCCCTGCCACACGGGACCTGGCCCTCAACAACGCCTGGTACGTGGCACGTGGGACTGGGCCCCTTGCTGGGGTCGGTGCTCCTGCTGGGGGTTAATACTGACCGGAATGCATATTTTCCGTGGAACTGATATTGAATGAATTTACTTATCCGGTTCAGTTGTTTCTTAAGTTCTTTGTTGTCAGGTTCCTGTTCTAGCTTCCTTTGATATCTTATGTCAAAGGAAGATATCTCATATATATCTTACATTTACAGATATTTCATAAATGTATTTGAAACTTGTATATTATATATTTGATACCAGGTTCCTGTTCGAGCTGATGATCAAATTTTGATATCTTATATCAAAGGAAGATATCTCATATATGTATGTATATCTTATATTTACAGACATCTTATAAATACTGTTGATATTTTATATATATGATACCAGGTTCCTGTTTGAGCTGATGATCAAACTTTGATATCTTTATTAAAGATAGATATCTCATATACATATGTATATCTTATATTTACAGACATCTTATAAATACTGTTGATATTTTATATATATGATACCAGGTTCCTGTTCGAGCTAATGATCAAGTCAATGTGCGAACACTTGGCCCGCTCAAGCATCACCCCCGCTACGCCACGACGCCAGCGGTTCTCACAGCAGTTCTCATCAGACCTCAGCAAGCTCGTCACGTCAGTTACTAACGACATCATCGCTGCCGTGTGTCGTGATGATGACATCACCTTCACCACACGACTTAACTGCAGCCTCGCTTTCTTCCTAAGCGACCTCTTCTCTGTCATGGACCGTGGACACGTGCTTCGTCTCGTGCGTGGATACGTTAAGGAGATTTCCTCACGTATCGCGACCATAGCCGATCCTTCACATCTGATGAATTTTAAGCTGGATTTCCTGAGAATTTTGTGCTCGCATGAACATTACGTTGCGCTTAACCTGCCCTTCTGTACACCGCTGTCGGGGCCATCTGCACCTTCGTCTCCATGTCCCTCGGTTCGTTACTTATCATGGTTATCTTTAAAATATAGTCAAACATATTTTACAAATATACATATACAATAAAAGAAGCATTTAAAATTAGTTTAATATTAGTTCTGCTTAGGTTCGTGCAGTTTCTTGCTGATGTCTGTATTCCTTGTTGATTTTTCTACATATATGACATATAATCTTCTAATATGTATTATAATGTTTGTCATTGTATATCTGCATGGGAAAATATTCGTAAATTAGTGTAATATATTAAATGATACTTAGGATCACCACACAGCAACTTCTCTATTCTGTCGAAGATGGCGTGAAATTCGAAGCTGCGATGGGCACTCAAAATTGAAATGACGTAACTTGAAATTAGGCATCAAAAGCAATGAAATTACTTGATGCCTTGATTTTTGTAGAAATGAAGAAAATTTGGAATTGGCTATTTAATAGCAGCTAAATAATTGGGAATAAATTATGGAATAGCAACGAAATAGCTTGAAATATTTCATAGCAGTAAAATTACATGAACCAGCATTCAATAGCAATGAAGTACAGGGTGATTCACGGAAACTTCCTGATTTTGAAAGCCCGATAAAAAAAAGTACTAGTAAAGATATTATTTCAATATAAATTTTATCGAAAAATACAGTAGCTTAATTTTTGACTAGTTTAATAGATAGATTGACTAGAAAAATAGTTTTATAGATGACTTCGGATAAATGACGGCCCCCATTGTCAATGCATTCAGTTAGTCGATTTTTGAAGTTCCGTTTAATTCGTTGAAGCGTATTGACGGATATGTTGGCGATGGCTGGAACGGCAATTAGAAAAGTACGCCTCGACAGCAAACGCACACTGCTCACTTGTCCAATGCATAGTGGCAACTGACTAGACGGAACAAAAAACTTCATAACCTAGCCATTCATATGAAATACTCCCATCCTTTTCCTACAACATCTTGCTACTTGGCGCGAAATACAGAACGAGAAGTTTCCCTGGTTCGCCCTGTACCGTGTAATGGATAATTAAATATCAATGAACTAGCTGGGAATGTATACTATTAAATAGCAATAAAATAACATAGAATTGAGCATTGAAATGCAATGAAAATGAGACTGTTTTTGGCACAGGTGAGTTCAGGCAGCAGCCAGTGCTCGCTGACGTCAACAGTTGCGTGCGGAGGCTCCCTGACAGACTACACCTCCCTCACCCCCACCTACAGGCGCCACCACTTCCTCTCCGGGCTCCTGCTCCACCACCTCCACCACGCCCTCTCACTCAAGTGCGTCATGAAGAGGGTTATAATGTCATTAAGTGGGTTATGATGCCATTGAGTGGGTTATAATGCCATTAAGTGGGGCATTCTGTCTTGATTGCATAGGGCTTCCTTTACGGGGCTACTGCTCCATCATCTTGTGTTGATTGTGTAGGGCTTTATCCTGTGTTGATTGTGTAGGGCTTTATCCTGTGTTGGTTGTGTAGGGCTTTATCCTGTGTTGGTTGTGTAGGGCTTTATCCTGTGTTGGTTGTGTAGGGCTTTATCCTGTGTTGATTGTGTAGGGCTTTATCCTGTGTTGATTGTGTAGGGCTTTATCCTGTGTTGGTTGTGTAGGGCTTTATCCTCTGTTGATTGCATGTGGCCATTTTCTTCGCACGTTCGCCACATTTTATTGATTGAAGACCAACTTTGTTTCTCGATTTAAATTTTCTTGTTATTTTCACCAAGCGCAACCGTCAATTAATTCAACTTTTTGGGGCAGTGGCCATTTAAACTTGTAGGTTGCACGTGCCAAATCACCTTTGCTAAATTAATTGATATGTTAATTGTGATTTAATTGCTCAATTAATCCCGACTTATAGAACCATTTGATCATGATGAGGTTACAGATTTACATGTTCAAGGTTAACCGTAGTTGAACTACACAGGTACAACTGTACCTAGTCATTACGATTATATCGTTTAAATTTATCCAGTCTCACAAAAATCATTAAACAATAAGTTTATTATCAATAAATAGCACTAATTTTATGGGCAGTTCCTCCACAGTGCACGATGTATCACAGTGCACGATCAGTAATGTGTCGTGAAAGTATGCAGATCCACTAATATTAATAATCAATAGGTTCATAATAAATAAGGTTATAATTGATAAGTTAATAATCAATAAGTTTATAATCAAAAGGTTTATAATCAATAAGTTAATAATCAATAAGTTATCATTGATAAATAAATATGATTTTTGTCTTCAGTTCCCCGTCAGTGCACGGTGGAGCTATCAACGCACTACGTACCGTGCTCACGGCGCATGATACGGACGACAGATACGCGCGACACGCGGGGCTACGTGCACGTGTAGCGGCGCTCTACCTGCCTCTGCTCGACGTGCTGGTAGATGCTCTGCCGCAACTCACGGCCCCTTCACCAGCAGGTGGTCACTTCCTTCATTATGGAGCCTTTTATTATATTTATTTTGCCGTCTGAAATCTTTTTATTTTTTTCTGAAAAACATTTCAGCAGCTGAAAAATATTTATTTCAGCATCTGAAAAATATTTATTTCAGCATCTCAAATCTATTTATTTTTATCTGAAAAATATTTATTTCAGCATCTCAAATATATTTTTTTCAGCATCTGAAAAATAAATATTTCGCCATCTCAAATCTATTCATTTAGTCTATAAAAATATTTATTTCAGCATCTTAAATATTGCTAACATAAATTCCATTCCTGAGGAAATACGATCATTTGGTCACCAAAATTCAATCATGTTAAAAAAGTAATCTGCCAGCATATATTCAAGTTATGGGGAAATACTGTAATTAATTGGTTTCCTATTCTTCAGCGCCGACAATATTATAAATATTATACTATAGTAAAAAAATTGAGTTTCTAGCATAGATACCATCGCTAGAGAACTTAATGGAATTATTTGCACACAGGCGGCGTGTCGTGGAGCAACAGCAGCAGCGAAGACGACGCGTCCTCAGGCCTCCAGTCCACCGTCGCCAGGGCCATCGCGGGGCCTTCCGTCTGCCGGGAGCCTGACGTCGATATTTCCCATCAGGTCTTAATACTTCGAAAACTCAATTACATTTATTTCGTTATTATAAAATCAAATTTATTTATTCATTTATTTCTCACGCATATTGTTATTTATTACTTAAATTTATTAGTGATAAAATGAGATCTCTATCTTGTCTTTTTTCGGTGGTCAGCATTGTTAAAAAATGTGTTTGTCACGATTATGAATCAACTACCGAACCGACAATCTTAGACGATACCGTATGCAAAGCAATGCGCTTAAATAAAAATATCTAGCTTATATATAAAAATATCTAGCGCTCTAGCGTACGAGGAATACAGTACTTGGCTCTTATATTCCAGCCTCATGCTGCATGTAAACATCTTGATACAAAACTATTTATAACTATTGTCGTAAAAATGAAAAATTTCTTAATGAAAATTAATGAAATGCCGACAACCCTTGCACTAGCGATGAAAATTTTAGTTTGCCCACCTACATTTAAGTGGACCAAGTAGAAAATTTTAAAACATTTAAGGAGACCCGTTGAGCATCCGATGCAATTGAACATACCGTAGTATTTTAGGTACTTCATTTTATTTAGTGCGTCACAAAACCTTTTCTACAGCCAATCTATCTCTACGGTTTCATCACTTTGATAAATCCAACTTAATAGTTTCATCTATTGGACAACTCTAATTTTACGGTTTGATTGGTTCAACAAAACTTAATTTTTATGGTTTCATTGGTTCAACAACTTTAATTATACGGTTTCGGCAATTTGACAACTCTAATTTTACGTTTTCTTCAATTTTAGAACTCTAATTTTACGATTTCATCAATTTGACAACTCTAACTTTACGGTTTCATCGATTTGATAATTTTAACTTTATGGTTTCATCAATTTGACAACTCTAACTTTACAATTTTGCCAATTTGACAACTCTAACTTTACAATTTCGCCAATTTGACAACTCTAACTTTACTGTTTCGTCAATTTGACAACTCTAACTTTTCAGCACATGCCAGTGGTTGAAGTTGTATTTATTTTTATGCAGCAGGCACGAACTTTTCAACACATGCCAGTGGTTGAAGTTGTATTTATTTTTATGCAGCAGGCACGAATTTTTCAACACATGCCAGTGGTTGAAGTTATATTTATTTTTATGCAGCAGGCACGAACTTTTCAACACATGCCAGTGGTTGAAGTTATATTTATTTTTATGCAGCAGGCACGAACTTTTCAACACATGCCAGTGGTGTAAGTTATATTTGTTTTCATGCATCAGGCGCAGCGGTTGCCGCTGAGCAGCAGCAACACCCGGCACCTGCTGGTGTCGCTGCTGTGGCTGCTGCGTAACGCGGACGCCGCGACGCTGCGCCAGGTGCTGGCAGGGCTGCCCTACCGCCGCCTGCACGGCCTCCTGCACCTCCTCTACATTGCTCTCACTTCCTTCCAGTACCAGGTTCTGTGTTCTACTGTACTGTGCTGTACTGTGCTGTGCTGTTTTGTGCCGTGCTGTTCTGTACTGTACTGAGCCCTGTTTTGTTAAACTGTGCTGTGCTGAGCTGTGTCGTGTTGTGCTGAGCTGTGTTGTGCTGNGCTGAGCTGTATTGTGCTGTGCTGAGTTGTGTTGTACTGTGTTGTGCTGTAATGTGCTGTGTTGTGCTGTGCTGAGCTGTGTTATGCTGTGCTGAGCTGTGTTGTGCTGTGCTGAGCTGTGTTGTACTGTGTTGTGCTGTAATGTGCTGTGTTGTGCTGTGCTGAGCTGTGTTGTACTGTGTTGTGCTGTATTGTGCTGTGTTATGCTGCGCAGTGCTGTGCTGTGCAGTGCTGCTGTACTGTGATGATGCACGGTGCTGTGCTATACTATAATAATATACTATACTCATACTGTACTGGTACTCAGTACCCTGCACCATAATAACACCCTAGTATGTATGATGCAGGGTCGGTGTGGAGGTCTGGGTGGTGGAGGGGAGCGCAGCAAGGCAGACATGAGGTCACGTCTCGAGGAGGCCATCATGGGGCAAAACTCCGCCCGCACCGAGATGATCAGGCGCCGAGGTAAACACACATTCATTAACACCATATTTTTTTATTTCGTTCTTTATTCCAATATTTTTTTCCGATTCCGTTATTTATTTCAATATTTTTGGGGGGATTTCGTTATGTGTTTCTACTTTATTTTTGAGCTATCGAGTCATTTCTGTTACAGTTGTTTGTTTGAAGCGTTTATAGAGAACCGCGTAATCTTGATATCATGAACACCGAAATAGAATATTAAGGCCGTACTATGAAGAATAGTTACGAGTTCGTAACTCCGTCAGCCAATCCGTGACGACTATTGAAACTAAACAGTCCTATCACAGACAAGAAATCGCTTGCTACGTTTACTTAAGTGAGGCTTATTAATGTAGCACCGGCTCTGCAGGCGACGTATATTTAAAAATTAAATCACAGGCAGTATAAGAATTGTGTCCGTGTCTCAAGGCCGTTTTTACGTATTGTATTTTTTAAGTGTTCTTTGATCGGAATAGTTTCCTTTGCGGTTCAATTAACATTTTTGATGCATAAAACCCGTTTTTTTGCTCATGTCAGCCAGAATAGTATTTTCAGTAACGTTGATCCTCTACGAACCTTTGGGTATTAGATTGGTTTTGATTTACGACTAATACGTAATGCCTCTAGAAATTTTCAATTATAGCGATGAAAATAATTCCGAGATTTCTCGGTGTGATAATAAAGTTTGCTTTTAGTGTTACTGATGAGCTTTATAAAGAATCGCATCGCTGCGTTAGCCTTTATTTGAAATTCTTATTTATTGAGAATGTCCCTTAATATGATTGTTACCCTTTATTTCGTGCATTTTGTGACCTTCATTTGTATTTTTTAAACTTTAAATCTTTAAACCGGCCAAGTAGACATGGTAAATCGTAATAAAGTCACCCTCATTTACCTACAAGTTCCAGATTCGCTCATGGGACCTTTCTATTTCGTCCTTTCTTTCAATTACCTATAGATAGAAAAAAATTTTTCCACTGTTTGCATATTTTTTTAATAATTTCTACGTACACATGCATTGATCGCATTTCGTTCTTCCCCAATTTTTTAAAGATGCGTTTCCTCTATTTCTGCATTACCCTCTCTTACCTCTCCCACTCTACTTAATGTTCTCCCTCGTTCATCACTTTTAACGCTTCCTTTGCCTTGAACCTACTTCCATACCTATAGTACACCACACACTTCATATCTATTTGTTATATATCATTCCTTGCCTCTATCCCACTTTATCATTCACAAGGTTACCCATAACAGGGTTACCCAAAGTTATATATTCATATTTTAGCAGATGCTACGTATATTTGTATTTTATTTTCAATTCAAAGCGCTAACAATTAATGCAGTTAATTCAATGCGTAAATTTATTATTTGAATATATCGGTAGGCCACTGAAACCAGGACAGCGGCGTATAGCTCCGGTGCGAAATAGCACGATAGCTGAAGCGCTAGCAAATCATTATACTACTATAGTTATCATACTAATCAACATTTTTGTGATGTAAAGAAGACAAAATTAACATCATTCATGGCTCTGAAAGTGTTCGCATACCACAGTCTGGGAACTCTTGTCCTATGATACTTCTTATCCAAAACTAAATTAAATTTCATTTCTTTACAACATCATACCTTCCAAGACCCTTTTAAATTGTTGGCTGGGAGCAAATTCCTTGCTTAAATTCCACGGATGTACCCCAACCGTTTTCTCCGCTGCCCCAGAATGCCGTCTGGTTGTGGGGCAGTCTCAGTTCTACGTGGCTGGGGAAGGTCTGTTGCGGTTCTCGTCTCTTCTTATTTATTTCAAATAAATATGCCTTCTCTTCTCTTACTCTGTTGCCGTGCTGCTCAATCTTTTGTTGTATTAATTTTGATTAATTTAACTTTATTCACATCTCCGAGTTATTCAAAGCCAACTGTTAATAATTTAATGTCATTATTCAAAATGAATAATCACACTAAATTTTATCTATCATTTTAATATATTTAAAAATTCCCCTTAAGAAGAGAATAAAAATGTATAAAGTTGCTGTTCAAAGTGTCGTCAATTCGTTTTAGTAGCTTCGATGCAAATAAATACACAATACGCTTTCCTAGCTACAATAAATCGAGTAGCTTCTTACAATATATACTGTTCCGTGCCTAGAGTATGGAGCAACAGTTTCAGTGCACTCAGTTTCTAATTGTGCTTATTGAAAATATATTTTTTAGATATTTGAATTCAAGGTAAATACCGGTTCAGAGACTAAACATGTGTACATTTTTTTCCTGAGCTAAGTTTCTATTGCTTTTGACTAAAATCTTGAGGCGCTGTCACTATAGAAGCGTTCTAATTAGCTGTTCACTCTAATCAACACTCGTTTAAATATGAGTTTTCGGGTTAATTTCTGCATGCAATCGCTTCTTGTAAATTATTCATCGGCGCTAAAATTCGTCACTATGTAAGTACGTGAGATTAATTTGTGATCAGAAGAAACCTCTAGCATTGTATTTTTTCATCATTTCGCCGGCGAATCATCGAATCGTCATAACTAAAATTAATCTCGATGTTTTAGCGCATTTTCTCATTTATGGAAAAAATGCACTATTGTGCTCGCCATGTCCGTCCGTCCGTCTGTCCGTCCGTGTCTTCACGTTTTCGTCGACGAGAAAATGCTCTCTCTGTCACTCACTGCAGTGACTACAGAGTTGCATTTTTTCAATACTATTGCTAATCGACTAATCGACTCTGTTTCAGTTTCTCACATGATCTCTAACAGAGAGGATGATTCTTTACAATCATGAAACATATTTCTTCGCGGAAACTCCATTCATATTTTCTAACAAATTTCTTTTAAGCGCTCAATATCTGCTGTGTACAAAGGCACGCTCGATACCATCGCGTGTTTGTTGATGGCTGTGTTGTTCTAATTAAATAATTACCTGACATTCCTTACTAGAAATATTGTCTTATGATTAAAAATATAGAAGCCGAGATTCCTGAAACGCAATTGTTAATTAATTATATCCGGTACTTGACAAATACTATTTTTCTAGCCTTTTTCTTGTCAAAAAATCGAACGGTTTAAGAATTTAAATATCGTTATTTTTTTCCTTTTCTACTGTGGAAATGAATTTGGCTCGTTCAAATTACAAGGAAAGAAATATACTGTACCAATTGTTAATGTTAATTAATCCAAATTCTGATCACTAGTGAGCGTTTAATACGGCTGGTGCGGCTATCCAAAACCATTCATGCGTTTTTCAAATAATAATATCAACTTTTATTTTTCAAAACAATATATGGATCTCTAGATTGTTATTATCAAGATCGCATGGATCCAAATAATTTATATGAGCTGAACATTTTTTGTTAGAATCATCTATTGTAATTGTTAATAAAGTACCTATTGGAAAGGTATTATTTTGATGTTTTGGAAACGTATTATTTAAATGTTGTATTGTAATATATTAACATATTATTGATGTATTGAAATATTGAAGACCGGCATCCGGCGTCAGGGGGCGGCCAGGGGGCGGGGGGGCATGGCTCCGACACCCCACACTCTGGACAAGAAAAACTCCGCTGGAGGAAAGAAACTTTCTTATGGCGCAATAACCCCAACACTCACCACCATCACCCTTTCACCCATCACCACCACGCTGGTGCTGGAACAACCTTATCCACTGGAGCTACTCTTCCACCTGGAGATGGTTCTGCTCCATCGACTCCAGTGCCGCTGTTCCACCAGCTGTCAGTGACGGGTGGTGGTGGCGACGGTGGTGGAAGTGGTGGAGGAACCTCAGGCAGCATTGGTGGAGGACAAGATAATATCTTTGGGTTTAATTCTCTTGAACTTCATCTTGCTGCTGAAGCCACGCTTATTGTGCTGGATACGCTCGAGCTCATCGTACAGGTGAACTTACCATCAAAATAATCTTACTTATGAAATCTGATCAGCAATACTTAGACTGAAATACCATGAAAATGTTACTTATGAAATCTGACTAGCAATACTTAGAGTAAATACCCTGAAAGTAATGATACTTATGAAATCTGATCAGCAATACTTAGAGTAAATACCATGAAAGTAATGTTACTTATGAAATCTGATCAGCAATACTTAGACTGAAATACCATGAAAATGTTACTTATGAAATCTGATCAGCAATACTTAGACTGAAATACCATGAAAATGTTACTTATGAAATCTGATCAGCAATACTTAGAGTAAATACCATGAAAGTAATGTTACTTATGAAAGACAACCAGCAATAGTAGACTGAAATACCGCAGCAATGAAACGAATGGATAAAATTAATTATCGTGCGGTAAATAAATTCATTATGTAAAGTGCAACGAATATAATATGAATTGTTTTTTTTATGAATTATTACCAACACTCACTTATATAGCAGGAATATTATTACCAGAATATTTTGTATAATTTCGTATTTGACAGTTTTGAAATCTTTAAAGTCGTTCATGTTTTGCATTTGAAAAGTAGTAACTTTTAACATGATAATTGAACTTATTAGTTATATTAGGCTTAGATGTTCATTAATTCGCATGAATATCGTGAATATCATCGTGGATCTAACTCTATACCTGGCAGCCTTGTCATTATTTTAGCTCAAACTTAATGTAACGATGCAGAATTTTTTCCAACGCTAGCTCATGTTGTGGTTTTGACCTTTACTCCATTCCTTCTATACTCAGAAAAAATGAGACTTTGGCCAAACATTGATGTAATTTTTGCCATTATGACCCGTTTTGGCCCGGCAGAAAGACGTATCTTATGCTACGTCCGCTCCCTGATCGTGCTGCATGTCATAACTTGTGTCACTATTTGCACGGTATGGCCCATACATTTTTCTGATTGCTATTCGTCGGTTTCATGACCAACATGTTTGTGTAAGGTTGTGAGCAGCAGCGAGGCTCTGCACAGCCTGCTGGGGGTGGTGCTGAAGGTGCTGCTGCACTCGCTCTCCCTGCCTCAGTGCACGCAAGCCCTCACCAACATCTTCAACTCTCAACGCGCGCTTGTTGCCAAGGTAACTTCAATTTATAACTAGGTTCCCGAGGTAGGAATTGCGGTAATTTGCTTAGCTACAATTTCTAACTAGGTTCCCGAGGTAAAAATTGCGGTAGTTTACTTAGCTACAATTTCTAACTAGGTTCCCGAGGTAAAAATTGCGGTAGTTTACTTAGCTACAATTTCTAACTAGGTTCCCGAGGTAAAAATTGCGGTAATTTGCTTAGCTACAATTTCTAACTAGGTTTCCGAGGTAAAAATTGCGGTAATTTGCTTAGCTACAATTTCTAACTAGGTTTCCGAAGTAGTAATTGCAGTAATTTGATTGTAATTATTGGGAGCTGCTTAGTTTAGAGTTTAAGCAGTAACATTCAACTCAAAACGGGCGCTTGTTGCCAAGGTTGCCCCCTACCTACAATTTCTAACTTCACTGTATAAAATTCACAGAAGTTATACCTCATTTTTACTTCATTTTAATGCATTTCTTCTCATTTCGTGCCTGATTGAAAGTAATATTGAGCAAAGATTTCTCTTATTCGAGTCCCTAGAATTAGATGAAATGTTTGTCGCTCTTCTCTGTATCCATCATTCAATCATTGTTGTGAATTTGTTGGATGTTTTTACTAGCTTAGATATCATATTCTCTTCCATCAACAAGTTATTTCTGCTCATTCCGTGAATTATTAACGGTGCAAGTGACCATAACTTCCGTTCATTCCATGTGTTTTAATTAATTTAATTGAATTATAATTTAAAATCAGAGTTAATGAAATGTAAGTAATTGCTATGTTTGTATTTAATTAATTAATTATTTGACACCAGAGTTAATAAAATGTAAGTAATCGTAATGTTTGTGTTTAATTAATTAAGAATTTGAAAATAGACTTACTGAAATGTAATTAACTGTAATGTTTGTGTCAGTTCCCGTCGCTGCTGTTCGACGAGGAGACGGAGCAGTGCGCGGACCTGTGCCTGCAGCTGCTGCGTCACTGCTCGTCTGGCCTGACGCCTGTACGCGCCCACGCCGCCGCCTCCCTATACGCTCTTATGAGGCACAACTTCATCATAGGCAATGTGAGGTCTTATATATAGTTTTGTGATACTTGGTTTTCTTAGTAGCCAGTAAAATTTATCGATTAAAATAAGATCATATTCATCAGCAAGGTAATGTACCAAGTTTTACCCAACTTAATGTATTTGCACAGATTTAATTATAATAGAATTAGATCCGTAATTATTAATGGTATACATTATTATACTCTATAAAATTTTACTAGCAAATATTATTTGTGCAGAACTTCTCGCGCGTGAAGATGCAGGTGACGATGTCGCTGAGCTCCCTGGTGGGGACGTGGCACAGCTTCAGTGAGTCCTGCCTTAGAGCCTCCCTCAAGACCATACTCACCTACTCCGAGCAGGACACTCATCTGCCTCACTCATCATCCTTCCCTGAGCAGGTGAGTGGTGTTACTCATACTCTCCTACTCCGAGCAATTTAATAGTTCAAGTTTCAAGTCATAAAATTCAATGAACATGAATATCATTGCTAGTTTCATCGCTATAAGAGTTGCTGAACATTAATTTCACATTATTATGATTGTATTATTGAAGGAACTCGTGTTCAACCTGAACATGATGCTATACTGAATATGACTCACATTATTATGACTGTAATGTCACTACAGGTGAAGGAACTCATGTTCAACCTGCACATGATCCTGTCGGACACGGTCAAGATGAAGGAGTACCAGGAGGATCCAGAGATGCTGCTCGATCTCATGTACAGAATTGGTGAGCAGCTCCTCTATTGTTTTATATTTTATTCATTATTTCATTGTTGTTGTTGCCCCTCGCCCGATCTCGTCGTCACTGGTCCAGCCGTGTATGGAGCCAACGTACATAGACCCTGAAAGGTCTACGGTGCTGAGAGGTGTTGGGTTGTTAGGGTAGGCGAAGAAGTGGGGCACGTCATCCGGGGTGAGATGTTGAATTTTTAGGCTTGTGCTGCCGTGGTTCTGTGTGGATTTTTTTATTTCTACTGAAATTATTGTTCATTAGCCTGGTTTTTGTTGTTTTTTTTTCTGTAACTTCTCTGTTATTGCTTAACATGACTCCCAGGTGCTAATAAACCTGACATTTTACCATAAATTTTCCGCGCACTTCACATAACTCGCAGGCGCCAGTAATGCTGGCATTATGCAAGTAATTTTCACTGTAAACTTTACAGCTCGCGGCTACCAGAACTCGCCTGACTTGCGTCTGACATGGCTGGCGAACATGGCACAGAAGCACAGCGAGCGTGAGCAGCATGCAGAGGCTGCCATGTGTCTGGTGCACAGCGCGGCGCTCGTGTCAGAGTACCTGTACATGCTGGAGGACAGGCCACACCTCCCTGTGGGGGCCACGTCCTTCCATGCCATCTCTCCTAACGTCCTGCAGGAGAGTGCTGGTCAGAATCATAAATATTATTTTGAAGCTAAATAATATACGTTTAAAAATTACTTTTTAGAGACAACACTTCTAAAGAATCCAGTGTTTCCGATGTTACAGATGTACAATGAATTTCTAATTTTATTTTCTAATAGTAAAAAAATTAATTTTTCAATTTATTCTAATATATAACATTTTTTTCAAAATTATTTATTCTCTCAATTGATTCATGCATTGCCTCCAACTTCACACAAGTGTGCATAATTTCAGGTCAATTGGACAAGTAAAAGTGTGTCAAATATCAGTTATAAGATTTGTAGCTGACAAAATTATTTTTTCAATTTTTTAGATTGAAAATTTTTTGTTAATTTTTGAAATCATTTATTTTGTCATTTGATTCTTGCATTGTCTCCAACTTTACGCAAGTGTGCAAAATTTCAGATCGATAGGATAAGAAGAAATGTGTTCAATTTTGATTATAAGATTTGTAGCAGACAGACAGACAAACAAACAAGAAGTGAAGTTAAAGAGAAGTGTTGTAATAAAAAGAGATGAATTCTAAGTCAATTCAATTGATTTATCTGCAGGAGAGTGCAGGTCAGAATTATAAATATTATTTTGAAGCTGAAATAAGATAAATTCCAAGCCAATACAATAATTAATGGACTGCAGGAAAGCTCTGGTCAGAATTATAAATATTACTTCGAAGCTAAAAATAAGATGAATTACACGTCAATACAATTAATGGACTGCAGGAGAATGCTGGCGAGGGTCCTAGGTATTCCCTCAAACCTAAAACACTGAAAAAATACGTACTATTTTGGTGATTTTGAATGCATTACGTAGGATTCCAGTGTGGGCTTCAGTGGGTGAGTGTTGCTCTGGCAAGTTTTTAAAAACTCTTGTGCTGTGTTCAACATTTTTTAGCATTTTCCTCCTCCATTATCAACCTTTATCATCACTATAAGTTGATGCTCGTAATCCTCCCTGAAGAAAAACGCGCGTGTCTCGTGTTGAGATTATTATTCATATTAAGCTACAATTGCGCGGTTGGTATTTCAACGCCAAGTCCCAGATGCAGCCTCATTCCCTCCATCTTAATACTCCTATTCGATAATAGTATCAATACAAGCCTAAGGATCGTTTAATCTTTGCTGTGTTCGAATCTACCTGCTGATAATCTCCTGTATTCCTTGCAGTCTCGGAAGACGTGGTTAGTCCTGACGAAGAAGGCATCTGTACCGGCAAATACTTCACTGAGAGTGGACTTGTAGGACTCTTGGAGCAGGCCAGCTCATCCTTCCTTCAGGTATCCTTCGTTCTTTTGTACGTATATATTCGTAGAGAAATTACTGATCGTGTTTGTCTCGGTGAATTTCGCTCGTCGTTCTAAATGTAAATAGGCGCTGGGATCAGCAACCTTCTGCCAGATTCCAAGGCTTGATTCTTAGGATTGCTTCGTATCAGATGACAATAACCATATACGTATCAATAACACTCATTTCTGAATCGCACAAGTGTAGCTTAACAATCATTTTCTAACATTCATTTCTCTTATTATCAATAACAATCATTTCTGAAGAAATGATGGTTATGGATACTCCGTAATAGGAACCATTAAATGGTGGTAGGATTGCTCCGTATCAGAATGCAATGCATGCTTGTTATGCTTGCGTGCAGGCTGGCATGTTCGAGTGCATCAACCTGGTTTACAAGATCCTGACGCCGATCGCTGAGGAGAACAGGGACTGGAAGAAGCTTATTAACATCCACTCTAAGCTGCTGGACGCTTACACGCGCATGGACCAGCTCGAGGGCAAGCGTATCTTCGGCACATACTTCAGAGTTGGCTTCTATGGCGCCAAGTTCGGCGACCTCGACGGTGAAGAGTTCATCTACAAGGAGCCTACGTTGACCAAGCTCGCTGAGATATCTCACCGCCTTGAAGTGAGATTATTTGAATTATTTAATTTAGAATTTTTTGAACAATTTTTAATTTAGCCGCGGAATAAAATTGAAAGAAATATTTAGTTTAGAATTTTTTTATCAAATTTTTATTTAGTCGCGGAATAAGATTGGATATTGCAAATGCTGTACACGCTTGCTGTAAAATCTGATCCTCTCCATTTTGAATCATGAGAATATTATCACATTCTCTTCTTTCCTTTGTCGACAGATTCATTTTATTTTCATGTAGCTCATTCAATCAAATTTATTGTACCTACTACTTTTATTGCTTGCAAATGAGATTCCTAAGACTATCATAAAAAATGCGACATCTAAAAATTGATGCTTTCTAGGCTCGTCTTCCAAATATTTTTTAATAAACTCATTTACCTGTTCATTCCATCAATTCACGAATAATCTGGCGTCAATGTTGGTATTAACTTGACGGTTTTAAATTAACTTGAAAGCTTTATTTATCAGAATATTTAATCGAAAGAAATGTATGCGAATATTTTTCCTTCTCTCGAATGATTTAGGATTAAAATTGTTAATCAAACAAAAACCGTGAATGAAATGTAATTATTTGCAGTCGTTTTACTGCGATCGGTTTGGAGAAGAGAACTTCTCGATCATCAAGGACTCGAACAGCGTGGACGTGACGCGCCTGGACCCCGACAAAGCGTACGTGCAGATCACGTACGTAGAGCCGCACTTTGACGACTACGAGTTCAAGAACAGACGTACGAGCTTCGAGAGAAACTATAACATTAATCGCTTCATATTCTCTACGCCCTTCACGCCAGATGGCCGAGCACACGGCGACCTCAGGGAGCAACACAAGCGCAAGACTATCCTCACCACGCAGCATATGTTCCCTTACGTCAAGACCAGGGTTTGTGGAAAACATTTGGGTTTAATAAACTATTTTTTTGGTAAAGTGTTCCCTTACGTCAAGACTAGGGTCCGTGAACAATATTTGGGTTTAATAAACTGTCTTTGTTTGGTAGAGTGTTCCCTTACGTCAAGACTATGGTCCGTGAACAATATTTGGGTTTAATAAACTGTCTTTGTTTGGTAGAATGTTATCTTACCTTAAGATCACGGTCTGTAGCAGACACTTGCTCGTGTTATTGCTGAAATTATCATTATTTTATTAAATGAGTAAGATATTCCTGATATCATACGCACTTGCAACGTAATTTCTATCTTGTAGTCATTGTGAAGGTCTTTATGGCTGCGTTAATCTTCTACTAAATTCCCTTTTTTCGCGCATTTTCCAGCTCCAATTATCATGTACGCGTTGCTATTCTAGCTTTAAATGATCTTACTTGCTCTGCTCTAGATAATAATGCACACTCTGAAAAGCGCAAAGAGTTTAATGACCCAATAACGATAACTTTGTTTACCTCAGGTTCAAGTTGAGTAACTATATAGGATGTAACTTTGATTACCTCAGGTTCAAGTTGTAGACCGCGAGTCGTGCGTGGTGACGCCCATCGAAGTCGCCATCGAAGACATCCAAAAGAAAACGCGCGAGCTCGCCGCCGCTATCTACCAGGAGCCGCCGGATCATAAGATCCTGCAAATGGTTCTGCAGGTAGAGTGGGATTTAAACTTTCTAATTGGTTCTAATATCCTTTGTTAATTTATTTCATTGGCATTCATGTGGTTCCAATTCATGCCAATTCCAAACAAATTCATGTGGTTCCAATTTTTGTTTCAATACCGATGTTTCTCAATGGGATTTAGAAAGGGACTGTTTCCCAGGTTGTTCTGAGAATATAATCAATACTTGGTGTGTCTTTAGAATCTCGGTTGTTTCAAGATTTAATATTTAGAATTTCATTTAAATCAGACCAAATAAAAAAGAGTTATTGAAGTATGAGCAAAAGAAATTGAAGTATTAAATTAATTGCAAATGAAAGGTAATTTATATTGAATAATTGTCAGGGTTGCATCGGGACGACGGTGAACCAAGGTCCTATGGAGGTGGCTCACGTCTTCTTGAGCGATCTTCTCCTCTCCGACGCCACGCCTACCATCCACCAGAACAAGCTTAGGCTCTGCTTCAAGGACTTCAGCAAGAAGTACCACTTGTCCTTATATTATCATTAAAATATTAATTGTTACTTATAAATTTTTTTGATTAAAAAACCCATTGGCTAGATACTAGCATAGCCTGCCGGTGGCCTGTGGCGGCGCCTGAGGCGACCGTCATGATTATTTACACGATAAAAATTTTTCCTTAATAAATGTTGATGTTTAATAGAAGTGAATTGTTCTTTGAATTTTATTCGTAAAAAAGTTTTTTAACACTTGAGTAAGGTTTTATTTGATATGAAAATATCAACGGGGTATCGTCAGCGTTCTTGTAATTATGTTGGTGTTCTAAGTTGATGAACCGAGTGAAATCAGGCTCTGTTAAAAAATTGTATCAACTTGATTTCAGAACTTTTACTTTTTCAGCACAATAATTTGTGTAGTGTTGACGAATCGAAACCCCCTTAACTGCTTGCTCATCAAGACAATTACAAATTTAAAATGTTTTTAACTTTTCCAAAAACTTTAGTTATTCGGTAGGATAATTTTATCACTTCTAGTCAATCAAATAACTTGATATCTCCTTGTACGCAGATGCCATGATGCCTTAAAACGCAACAAGCTGTTCATCAAGTCAATCCCATTAAAAATATTATAAACTTTCCCATGAACTTTAGTTATTCGGTAGGATAATTTAAACACATCTAGTCAACCAAAAAACCTAATACCTCCGTGTACACAGATGCCACGACGCGTTACGCCGCAACAAGCTGCTCATAGGCCCCGACATGCGCGAGTATCAGCGCGAGTTGGAGCGCAACTATCATTCCTTCACGGAGAAGCTCAGGCCCATGATCACCGTAAACCACCTGCAGAGGGCCACGCCCTTATCAAGGTTAGATCTTATCAAATAAATGTCTTTTGATCCTTATTTTCTTATGAATTGTGGTGTATTTTTAGCACATTTTCTCATTTATGGAAAAAATACCCGATTGTGCTCGTCATGACCGTCTGTCTGTCTGTCTGTCCGTCCGTCTGTTCGTGACTTCACGTTTTCGTCGACAAAAAAATGCGCTCTCTGTCACTCTCTGCAGTGAGTACTTAGGTAGATTTTTTATGTATTGTGATATTTTCTTGCATGGATTTACGCGATTCTTCAGGTTGTTTGGTGACTTAGTACGGGGTGCTAAATAGTGTACGGTGCTATAAGTTCCTTTTTCCTTAGCATGATATTGTGATTCTTTCATCACTCGTTGGGTGGAGTGTATGGACATGTACTAATTCACCGGTTTGCACGGATTAATTCATATCATGTCTCGACAAATTTTGGCTTATTTCCGAGCAAATTTTATCGTCATTTCATGTTTTAGTAGAGTTGCCTGCCTCCTGCATTGCACTCATTTATTTTATTGGCATGAATAGCAAAAATTAGAATTTCCTTGCATTTGGCAATCACGTTCTCTGGTCTCGTTTTGTTGTTTAAAAATATAAATAATCTTTCAAACTTTCTTCTTTTTTCTTTCATTCACTTGATTATATTTACTTTTTATCATCTTATTATACTTACTGTTGTGCATTTTAAATTTATGCCGTTATTCAGAGATTTACGTTCGTCCTATTGACGTTCAACGTCTCTTATAAATTATACGAAACCATATCAGAATCTAGGAACCCATTACTTCGTGAATCACGTCAAAATTCCCTTGATTCTTTATGATTCGGGATAGACTCCCATTATTATATATTTTATTGCATGGTAAACTTCCATTTCTTGTAATTCAAGATTCATTGATTCCGCGTGATTCAAGATAATTCTGTGTGAATCATGATGCACGTCACTTTGCATGTTTTTTTTATCTTGCACGCCGCATTCAGTTTAACATTATCACTCTCGTCCTGGTTCTGAATCTCTTGAATAATTAACTGGAGACTTTCTATAAATAAAACAACTCGTCTGCCGAGTAATAATTCGTTGACCTGCTTTAAATATTTAATTTATTTTCCTCTTCCTTAGCGAAAATAGTCGCTTTATATTGTGCCCTGGGATTAATGGGCTTTTAAGTTAATCTACTACGTAAATTGTAAATTGCACTAAACTTGATTGTGTTGATTGTACTATTGTAGATTGTACTAAAATTGTAGATTGTACTACTACTACGCCGTAGTACTAGTACTACTCGATTCAAAAGTACTATTCCCTAGAACTCTTGAACTGCTGCTCCATCTCCTACGCGTCTTCTTGAACTCTCTAACTGCTATCCCTACTCTTGAACCACCACGTCCACTCTCCAACCACCACGTCCCACTCTCCAACCATCACGTCCACTCTCCAACCAACACGTCCACTCTCCAACCACCACGTCCACTCTCCAACCTCCCCGTCCACTGAACAAGGAGGAGAACAAGGAGAAGAAGCAGTCACACCTTCGTGTTACTACTTCTCCTCCAAGTCTCCTACTCCTACTCGCACTACAACCCTTCACCTCCCCCCTTAGCCCCACCATAGCCCGGCATTCCCCCTGGGGCGGCAGCACAGCGTCCCTAGACACCCTCACCTCCCAGCACTCCTCCAGGAGGTCGTCCACTTCCAGCGTCAGCTCCGTCGTCAGCAGCCGCCGGTCCTCTAGGGCATCTACCCTCAGTCTCTCTATTTTCCCGCGATAAATTTAAAAAAATATCCCCCCTCAGGCTATAAATTTTTCGCTCGCTAAATCATTCTGAACGACTTCCGAAGCTTTCGTTTTTCTCTTGATGAATTAATTTGAAAGATGTTTCAGGATCTCGCTTTTTTCAACCACAAATTATGCCGTAAATTTAGAGATGAAATGACAGCAAATGAAAAGTGAGCAGAATGAAGCGAATAAAAATTAAGCTTCTGATGATACCTACTTAAAGTGTGCAAGAACTTTTGACGCGCTCTGTCATTCATTTATTCTTGATGTAAGCATCAATTGAAACATTTCTGCTTGATTAAGTTCTTTTTAATGTGTGCATGAATAAATATACTTTAATTTAATGAGTTTTTCTTGATTTATTTTTCAAGTTGCACTTAATATTAAGGATGGGTGGTTCATGCGTTTGATTGTACCTGCTTGCTTACCTGCTACTAACCTAATCTCTGTTGCGCGTGTCATATGCATGGCTTAAATAATTATTATTTTTAAAACACCAACTTGCTAAGAATGTGTGGTAAGTGTGATACGAAGCATAGTTAAACTCAACTCTGAATGCCATTTGCCATCGATATACAGACTACAGCACTGTGTTAGACACGCTATACACCCAGAATACACTATGTCTTGGACATTTTATACACCCATAATACACTATGTGTGTTAGAAAGTTTAACGAAGTATCCAAAATGTACTGATATCTAAGATATCGTATGAAAAGTCGAAGTAAATTAAAATTCAACATGTAACATGTTTGTTGACAAAATGTAACATGTTTAAAAATATTTTTAAAAACGTTTCTTCAGGCGATATGTAACATTTTTGTAGACAGCCTGCAACATATTAGTAGATGTCGTGCAACAGCAAATAACACAATGTTGACTGCAAATAACATGTTGATGACTGCATATAACATGTTGACAGCATATAACATGTTGTTGACAGCATATAACATGTTGACTGCATATAACATGTTGACAGCATATAACATGTTGTTGACAGCATATAACATGTTGTTGACAGCATATAACATATTTTTTGACAGCATATAGCATATTGTTGACCGAATATAACATGTTGTTGACATCATATGACATGTTCAAGACAACATGCAACATGTTCGCGTAGTTACTAATTACCATGTTAATGTGATAACGACATTTGACATTACAGCGAGACGAGGGCTTGATGAGACCGCCGCCGCCGCCGCTGCTGCTGCTGCTGGTGGAGACCCGCCAGCTTTTGTTCAGCCGCTGCCGCTTGGTCCTCTACCGCCCAACGCTTGCTTGCGTTCCTTTGCTTCCCTGTACACTAATGATACGAATTCTCCACTTGTAGGTTATTTATATGAATTTTTCACTTATAGGTTAAGTTTCCGTTTCTGAAGCGGTGGCAATCTCTATAAACTATAGTATTTAGCGCCCGTTGTAGGTCCATTGTATTATTATAGGTTTCTTTGTGTGCGACCTGCGAAGTCGTGTTTTATGTATGGCGATATGGTTCTGCTGTTCTTGTGTTGCTAACTTTGAGACTCGGTGCCTTGATTCGCATCACAAACCATAATGAGTCATTGTGCCTGGTTATTTCTAGACCATCTCGGATTCTGCTCCAACTATTTTAATTGCTTGGACGATAAGTGGATTATTCACTTTGGGTCTCGGAATTTGAATTCCCATTTGTTGTCGCGTCTTTGAGCTCAAACAAATCGTTTACCTTTCTTAATAAAGTGACAGTTTAGTCAAATCTCGCCGCTAAACTACTAAAAACAAGATCCTATATATGACGCATTCTCTTACTCCACATGTGCTCCTGTATTTTCTATCTGAACTTGCACAACTTTGTAGCTGAGACTCTACTTAAAATATGAACACATGTGTTTTCACATGGGCGTTCTTGTAGGAAACTGACATTGTTTTTCAGAAAGTACTTAATTCAAGAGCTTATTGTTCATAGTACATATAGGTTAAAAAAATGCTTTAAAAAATTGTCATTTTCTTTCATTCTATTAGAGACATGTGGATTTTGTATAGGATTTGTCACAATTTTGATGTTTTGTAAAGTACATTGTCTTTGTTCCAGTTAATTTTTTACTCAATACTCTTGTTAGAAACTTAACCAAAGATGATTTAATTATTTTTGCTATACTATTCCTGAATTTGGGAATGCTACATGTGTGTATTCTTTTGATCTCTGAATATTTTATACTTATTCTCCACACATAGACGAATAATTTGTAGTTGTATGGACGTATCATATGTAACTTTTGAACGTATCATTTGTAACTGCTGTCTCAGCGAATGGGTATTAGCACGATATACACTTACGAACGAATAGGTATTAGGGCGATTAGGGATGCCGAAGATAGGTATTATAGTATTAGATTTTATTGCCTTAATGCTTTTGTACTTCTTTGTCCGTAAAATATACTACATATGATGTAAGTTAAGATTGTCAAGATTTTTTTGACTGAAACCCGTGCCTGACTTATCATTGACTCGACTATTAATATCAGACGATTTCTAGTTTTTAAATAAGAATTTTTCAAACGTCGTATTGCGTGTCTTTTTAGTTTTTACTTTCCTTATCGATTGTAATTTTGGCTTGTCAGTGAAAATTTCCGTCTCATATGAACGTTATTCTGGTTTTATTTTAAAATTTTGCAAAAACGGTGAAATTGTCCAAATTTGTGTCCCGTAGCATCTGTAGTATCAATCTCAGACTTCCAACAGAAGTTTCATTATGGAGTAAACCTGCCTCCTCATCCTTGTGCATTCGTATTCTTAATTTTTCGATGAAAATTTATTAGTTTTTACGTGCTTACATACATATACTGTTTATTTAGGTATAATAGCCGCCGCACTTTCGCTTGTTCTTAACGCTTTGTATGGTGTGCTTGAATAACGATTCTTTGTACTAATACAATTTTGTGTGATTTATTTCATCTTTTATTAGATAACTGACACTTCCTTTCAGCTTCCCGGTAATTAATTGTTATTGTTCTCGATAACTTTACATTACGATTTTAATTTATTTTTAGACTCCGTGCAAATGAAACCTAATTTGTTTCGATCATATGTAGTTGTCATGATTTTCGTCGTAGAATAGTCGACCATTTTTTTAATCTCATTAATCAAGGTGAGTATTGCTTTTTTCATTACTGCCTGTAATCTTTCAGAATCGCATGATGTGACAGATGAACGACCTACATAAGTGTTGAGTATCTTCCGAAGTTTGCATTTATTAAAAGTAATTTTTCACCTGCTCTCTCGATCATGTCCTCAAGTGCAAAATACTTGTAATATCTATGATACTTTTCATTTTGAAGTTAGCAATTCGTGTGCATTTATAACTCCGATTTAGTTGCACCTGCGGCACAATGTGAATTAGTTTATTAAAGTATCCCAAAATGTGTTTCCTATTAGTTAAAGTTATTGTTGTCACTAACGCTCTTTAGTTGCAATTATATGCTCTATCGATCATTATGTTCGTCGAATTTGGCTCACACATGACTTTTGCTTGTAGACGTAAGTTCTGTACTTTTTAATTGTAATATTTGTCTTTGTTTGTTGTATTATTTTCCTTTGGAAATATGATTGGTGTAAAATTCCAGTTGAAAAGGAAGTCTCTTTATTTTAAGAACATTTAGGCAACCTTGACGGGGAAACTTTATCACGTGAAACTGAACCTCATGTGCATCTCTGTAGCACCAATGGGATCAGATTATTTAATTTATTATATTTTTCCCGGCCAGTTTTATGCATTCCGTGTATAAAAAATGTGCCAGATGCAGTGTAAAGCGTGTTCTTCTTGTATGCTGACTGCACAGAAGTTTTGAATACAGCTAAGGATGCTTTGAAAGACGCAGCAGCAAGATGGTCTTGATAGTTGTCTTGGCGGATGTGTAGCAATAGCATTGTTGTGATGAAAAATGCAAAGCACTTGACCTTGATAATAATTAACAGCGAGCTTGAAAAATCGGCAATGGAAGAAGATGTGAGAATTTAGGTCAACAATGAGTTGAAATATTTAAAGTGTATTGTAACGCATGTTAATGAAACAATTAAACGGCATGTTCTGATCAGGCGTCATTTAGTGAACGCCGTGGGGTCACCAAAACTAGAAAAAGACGAAAAAAAAAAATTTTAATAGAGAGTGTTGTAAGACGTGCAACGAAGAAAATTCCAGGATTAAAAGGCAAGCTTTATGAAGAAAGATTATGAAGCTTCCTAGCCTCTGTTATCGACGACTGTGTGAGAACCTCATTGAAATATATGTACAAGTATATTCATGGTATATACAAGGTCCCCGAGGGATTACTTGAATTTGAAACAAAATCCAATACCAGGTGCCACGGCAATAAACTAAAAACTGCGTTGCAACTCATTCATGCGACAACATTTATTTTCGTTTCAAACCACCTTCCATATATGATATAGAACAGCCTCGCTGACTACATCGTTGACGATTCTAACATGAATACGTTCAAGAACAAACCAGATGAAGCCTTGTAGAGGTATGTGTTTCGACTTTCGACTATAAATGCCACGCACCCAACGAACTAATGTATGATCAGCAGCTACTTAGCTTCAAAGTCTCTTGAATAGATCAGTCAGTATTAAACCCCGAGATCACTATTGACAAAAATTTAAAAGCAAAGAAAATAGCCAGAAAATTCACCATTTCTTAAAAAGGAAAACGTTTCGGACACCAGCTCCATCATCAGTTCAAAACCTAAAACACAGGTACAAAAAATTAGTAATAAATTCACATTGAAGCATAAATCATCAAATGAGAAACAAACAAGAATGAAGCAAACACGGGCACAATCTATCTATTTACAATTTCGAGGGGATATGAACTATTAGCGGCATTTAAGTTAGGCTTTTGTTTAAAAATATAAAGGGACTCTAGAATTCGCAAGTCGGAAACACCGGTCGTGGAGGCTAAAATTCGAAAATCACTATCGGACTCTGGCACGTTGCACTGCTCGTCATGAACGCGTACTGCTGAATGAGGGGGATGCGCAAGCAGGTTTCCTGTTCTAAAATTCCTTCCAAAATTCATAAACCAGATTTCGCATTGAAATTTCAATTCCGCCCAATCTTTGCTGCTTACAGGGCGGAATTTGCTGTTTATTGTTCATTTGCTTCTGAGTCTATGACTAAAGAGTTGAAAGATTTGTTCTCTAAATACATCCCAATTGTAAATCTTCATTCATTGCTGGTGAATAATTTTAAAATCAGTTCTTTTTTCAAGTATAAAGACACACTTCCTGTTCCTATGCGATCGTCCATAGTTTATCAATATAGTTGTGCGCTATGCGCATCTGCGTATGTTGGTATGACATCTCGCAACTTTTATACTAGGCTGGCGGAGCATAAAGAAAGGAGTTTTAGAACAGGAAACCTGCTTGCGCATCCCCCTCATTCAGCAGTACGCGTCCATGCCGAGCAGTGCAACGTGCCAGTGTCCGATAGTGATTTTCGAATTTTAGCCTTCACGACCGGTGTTTTCGACTTGCGAATTCTAGAGTCCCTTTATATTTTTAAACAAAAGCCTATCTTAAATGCCGCTAATAGTTCATATCCCCTCGAAATTGTAAATAGATAGATTTTTGCCCGTGTTTGCTTCATTCTTGTTTGTTTCTCATTTGACGATTTATGCTTCAATGTGAATTTATTGCTAATTGTTTGTACCTGTGTTTTAGGTTTTGAACTGATGATGGAGCTGGTCTGCGAAACGTTTTCCTTTTTAAGAAATTGTGAATTTTCTGGCTTTTTTCTTTGCTTTTAAATTTTTGATAAACTTGCGATTTAAGCAGTCAAGTGATTTTAACACTATTGACAAATTAAGAACACTATGAGAGTACCAGACTTGATCTAATTTTCAACACTGACAGCATTATACTATACTATACATTTTCAACAAAGAGCATAATGAAAAATATTGCATACACGTTTTTGACCTAAAATTTAATGCACATTGTTCAGTTTAATTAAATCCTCCCTGAAAATATTAAAGAAATTTGTGCCACTGAATTTCGTGAGTCTCCTGCAGTATGCGCTAGAATGTACCGAAAAATATGACACTTGCTCGGCTAACGCAATCTTTTGGTGCCCGACGCCTGTCTTGGCATAGAGGTTGAGCAGCTGCTTGCGGTCTATTCTTATGCCTCGAACTACATGATAAGGGGAATACGGAAGATAATAATACTCGGAAAATTATTTGAATGCAGTAGTGTTGAAGAGAAACTTGTTCATGCAATTTTATGTAATTTTAGTACGTTCACGACATTAGGTTGGTATTTATCAAGTTGATTTCATGTACCTAGTTCAACAAAGCTTTTCAAGATTGAAATCATAACTGTAGCATAAAATTTTGGTCATGATATTCTACTGTTGAAATTTATTGAATTATTGTTATGTTCCTAATTAATATCTTGGGTTCTTTCGCCAATTCCGCTAAATAACTTACTGCGCCTCCAAAGTTTGATATATAATTCACTTAACTGCACGCATGCAATGAGATGGGTGACGCTTTGTCCGAACAGTGCTGCACTTTTGCCCCCTTGAGTGCGTCACTCTGATCCAGCTTGGCCCTGCGGTACCAAGTGCAGCAAGTGTGTCTATTATTACAGTCTATATTTTGACAATACGACCCATTTCTTTTTCTGCGTGACGTGTTGTCCCATGTACATTAGCAGTGCCAATAGCGGTGTCCTGCATCTGGCCTTCACGTACGGCACATAATCGGTTTAAAATCACGTCCGAATAATTCGAATTTGAATTAAAATTTTATTCTGTGTATATTCAGTGTCATCACTCACGGGATGTAAACTCTTGAAGGAGAAACGCAATTCGCGTTCACGTCATTCATGAATAAAAATTTAGCATAAGTTTCCACTGAAGTGCTCCTCTCAATAACTTAGTTTTACGTTCAAAATTTTTTTAATTTCAAACAACCACAAAATTTAGTGTCATAAATCTAATTGAATTACGTATATATATAAATTAGTGCATATTGTAAACCTAGCTTGCAACATACAATTTGTCTTGTTATTGATGTAATGCTTGTACACCGCAAAATTAGTTAAGATTTTTTTGCGGAAAGTAAGGAAACTCGGATTTGTTCGATGCCATCACTAATCTGTCCTCTACTCTCCTCCTGCCCCCCCCCCCCTCTTTCATGGTTGGGCTGGGGAGAGGGAGGCAGAGAAGGTGGGTGTTGTGAGGCTCTCTCACCCCTACAGCGTCGTCTCCCTCTGTATTGATTCCAGCAAGCTGGCACCAGCCGCGTCGCAACCCCTCACTCTTCCCCTCACTCCCCTCGTCTGCGTCGCACCTACCCTCCATGGCCTTACCCTCGACCTTCTGTGTGCCTTGCACTCTGTGTACACTGTAGACCATTGGCAATTTTAACAAACTGAAAAGCAAAATTTATTTCATTACTTGCGGCGCCTAAATTCAATTCAATTTCAATTTACTACAATGTCGTAAATTGCAGACTCATCTTATAAAGGTGCTTCTTGCTTTCTTTCATTTTGCCATTAATCAACAAAATTATATCATTGTATCGGCAGGTATAAGGTCTTCAATAAAATGTTTTTTTTTCTGTACCAAGATATTTTCTGCAAATCAACTCGATTGTCAATCCACCACCAATTTCCGTGGCATCTGAAGTCAGCGCACTGGCGGCCCTTTAAGCTTTATTTTGTTTTCAGACAACCCATGGTGATCCTAATTCTGTAGAAGGACTCCCGCGGCGCCTGACAATCTTATCTGTCCTTTGTTCTCAACTCCAGTCCTAAGTCATTAGCGGCAATGCCCCCTAGAGGGGCCAGAGGACAAAGCCTTTGGAGCGCCCAATTAGATTGTTCATTAGCGGCTGCCATAGTTACTATCATTATCTACCACAAACGTGGAGCCTATGTGACATAATCATGATTTTTTTCATCTTCTTTACTTTGAGAGTTTACATCAATCGATTTATATCATGTATTAAACTTTATCTCTTCTAATGTTTTACCGCTTCGATACTCGAATATGATGCAATCAGCGTAAATAAAAAAGTAATAATTAACAAGATTTAATCTTATATGTCCTACAAGTAAAAAATCTATTCATTTATCTTCCATACTGAACGAGACATATGTAATATTAACTTTTCACATTTGTGCTTCGTTCAGCGAAAATGAATACGCCGGCAATTTCTTTTCGATTGTTATAACCCAAAGCCGCGCCGGTTACTCCATCGCTTGCGATGTCAGGCCAGACTCCTAAAGATGACGAACTGATTCTTCTGGCGGAAGTGACGTTCATCGTCCATCTTACAGGGCTACTCAGGATAGCTGGATGATCTTTCGCTCGCTGAGTGGAGAGAGAATTCGAAAAATACCAATTCTAACTTCCACCCTGACAATCTATGAGGAATGAAAATTCCAGAATTTTTTGTGTGTTAGGACGGAACTAAATTCAGATAGAGAATGTAAATTGCGTTATTTTAAGCGCGTGAATGTGATAACTTTTTCAGGAGAGTTCCAAGACTTTTTCCCGATTTGGCAAGTGTAGTGGTTCTCGTATAATGCGCTCGGATATTATGCAGATGCCCAAAGTTTATCTGCATAAATTCTCTATTCCAGTTCAGAAAGTTTATGATTGCTTCAACATTGGAGTGGAGTATGGATCAGTAAGTTCCAAATCGAAGAAGAAATTGAAACCTTTCATATGTCGAAGTACAGAAATAAGCCCGGTTTATTAACGAAATTTGTTATCGTGAGAGCGGAGTTGTGTCCGTTCAAATTAGACTTCATTCTATGTACATGGTACAATTTAAAATTTGAAATAATAATAACAATAATTTTGAAATATATATTACCCAACAACGTACATATGCGGCCAACGATAATTTCAAATTATCTTGAGGAATCTTCTTCACGTTAACTTTAAAGAAACTTAAAATTTTAGTAATCCGATTTAGTTATAATCAGGATAATGAATTTGTTGCAAGTAATAATTTCTACAAACGAATGTAAACAAGCGAATGCATAGCATAACAGGCAGGTGCTTCAAGTTACTTTAATTGCATTGATCTGCTGGAAGTAGTTCCAAGCTTTGACCTTGAGACGGGACTGCGAACGAGAGTGAGTCACTGCGTGGAAGTTATTCACGAATCCATCAATCGATCTCATGAGTACGTAGTCTCGTGCTGCTCACAATCGATCAGCTGACTCAATAATATTGTATTATTGATTGAGTTCACCATGTTCGTGCAAATAATTGGAATAAACCTATAGCGTTGAACATTGGCATAAACAGTGTTGTGCATTTACCTCGAGAATAAAGTTTTTCCTTAAAAGTTTTGAATGGCAATTTCACGCAATGGTAATTTAAATTCGTCTGAGTGTTTAACTTATCTAAAAAATAAACAAAGAACTACTTGCGCTGGCTTGGATGAGTAAATAAATGGCTGCTCAGTTATGTTATAATTTTGGCTTATTCATTTCAACTACGAATTGAACAGTACTATATACTAGGCAAATATCTATCTTAGATGAGCCAAGAGATAAGCCTTCACTATATAAATATACCAAGATAAAAGATAAGACTATTACTATATAAGGTAAGTGCCTTTACTCATAAGTGACGTGCAATTCATCCTGTATTTTTTATGTAAACAATTCTGTCACTGCCGTGGGATTAGTTAACGTAGAGTCCGGAGAGGGCGCTCCTGGATCATTTCGTCACTTGGCGCCAGTTTGCTTTGGGCTGCCGTTGAGTGAGGTGTGACACAAACGCTGCGCGGCTGTTGCATCCACTTGTGACTCGCTAGGCAAACTAGCTTAGTTTCTTTCATGTGACGAATAGCCCGGTAATTCAAGTTGAATTATATAGAGAAATATAATGGTTTTATCCGACATTGAATAATACATGAGATATTTAAACATAGATTATTTGATTATATTTCCATAAAATTTCTTAGAAGCTATTGTGCTAAAGCTCTTCCAGACATCGTCATGCCGGATGTACCGTCTCTGCTCCGCCGTTAGTTAGGCTAAGTGTGACGAATTGAAGCCATAATCCTAATTCATAATAATAGTTTTTTTCAGTATTTTGTGACTTTAACGATTTTGGTGTGACATGACTTGACGTATCCTGGCTTTTGATATAGGTAATTTATAAGGTTTTGGACATTTTACTCTATGTGGTTCGAATCAAATTAGGGAAGAATCTACCTAGGCCTACCTATACAGCAAGATTGGAGATTCGTTGATTGATTACAGAACATTCAACCTAAGTTAGATTTACTTATTTGATTCAAGTCCGTCTACAAAAATGAGAGGTGAGTTGTTGAAAGGCGAAAGTTGACGTGAAGTTTTAAAATAGGTAAGCCTGTTTAAACCATTTAAAATGATTCGTCAAAATTTTTAGAACATTCAATGTAAGTAATGAATATGCTCATTTATTATGCTGCATACACGTAAAATTAGCTACAAGTGTATTTAAAGGAAACGGCGAAGCAGTTAGCCTAAACTCAACATTCACCCAGGCGAAGTGCCATCGCTTGGCCAGACAAAAATGTATCTATTGTATATATCTTGATCTTCTCACGGTTCTCATTCTGCCTAGATCGCTGACTCTGAGTCGCAGGCTCCTATAAAATATCGACTAAAAGACTTGCAAAACAAATCATGGGGCCCTCAATGCCGCCGCACCCGAATCGCGTTCTGAGCTCCGGAGACCGAAATTTCATCGTTCTCATAACTTCTAGCTAAAGCGTTTGTCTTTGCCAAGCATATAGTTCAGGCTGTGGGCGCCGACCGCGCCGTTATATTTGTGATTTGTCGAGTGCCACTCTGCCTAGTTGTTAGTTTGATGCCACGGTTACCATGATCTTATTACCCATCTTGAAGTTTTTGAGTTGGCACTTTCGTTTATCACTCATTTATTAGAAATTTATCACAAAACACTTGATATCATTTGTCTAATCGGAAAGCTATCTATCATTATTAATGACAACCAATGACTTCATACTTAAACTTCAATGACTTCATAAACTGTTGCAAACGAGGAATGATTCAATTGGATAGACGAATTAGGTATAGGTGCTACTGTAATTTGTCTTCATCTTCTAAAGGCGTTGGAATACTGCCTCAGAACTATTTCCGGTTCCATGATTCGTGGGCACAGGCAAGTGGCAACGGTTGTGGATCCGTCAACAACTCCGGAGTTGGTTTTCTCAATGACTATCCACTGCCAATACTATGTTTCTTTCTTGATATCATCTCAAACTTTGACGCTACTTACTTTTATTCGTACTATTGATATCAAAATCTAATACCTTATACTTTTTTCATTATAGTTTCCCATAAGTTTCTCTAAGCTACTAAGTGTTCTTAACGAAGAAATAAAAATACCGACTCATTTGTCGATGAGCTTCCTCGTTCAATTTCGCGAGAGGCTTTGGAAACTTGGAACATTACAATTGTTCTACTCATCACGAAATCGATCCGTCTTACAGCGGCTTCGTTTAGTCCGAGCTTTAGAAACGGAAATAATTTTCGTAATAATTTAAACGGTACACGAATTTTGAATTTCCTGTGTTTAAATGTGTGACTGCAGCATCTTACGTACATGACAAATTTATCTTCACAAATACCTTGAAAATTTCTCTTTAAATCGCACGCTTAACTGGCATGCTCTCTTATTTCGAAGTCATGTTTTCCCACTACTAAATTTTCCAGTGAAGGCATTCGCCATAACATAGAAGACCCCATAACACTGAAGGCCATTCTATAGCGGCTAAACGGACTAGCGTATGGTGCATCGGCTTCATGGTTTGAGCCTCTTTCGGCAATTGCGTCACAAAAGAGCTTATATAGGAAGCTTTGGATGCCTTCACTGGCTAGGCTTTTGCTCCAACTTTTCCTTTCTTTCGAGTATTTCACGCCGAGACTTCCAATGAATGTACCACGATGTCTTGTGGCATATTCAGAATAACGTACGTTGGTTAGGAGTGTTGTGGTCATCGCGTGACCGTTGTAGTTTACCTCGCAAAGTTACGGCGCTGCCCACCGTTTGTATTTACATTATTAAGCCTCAGGCACATTTCTCTCACGCTTTTCGTTTTACTAGAGAATTGAAATTGAATTAGTAGCTTGTGTTCTGTGTAGTTCTAATGTTAATGTAACGTTTGAATTTATATTGATGGTAGCTAATTTGATCGCTTGCACTGTTGAGCTTGGATTTAGGTTCCAAAATTTACACACTTCCTTTTAGTAATGATCCGGATTGTATTGATTTTTCATAACAGGAACTACTGTTACCGCTAGTGATTTTTGAACAGGAACATCAATTCATACTCGCTTTTTCTTTGTCAATTATTGCAGCTTTATTTTTTACTCTTTGATTTAAATGACTATCTGCCGTGATAATGTCTCTACCTGATGCCTGCAGTGCTAGCAATAAATGCCTGAATGTGTACAGTTGTAGAGATTCTAGTGGCTCCTAAACCTCACGAGTTCGTCACGTTGACATTTTGAGCGTCCCAAAGGTAAGCCGCTAACTAGGGGAGATCGTGGGAACTACAACTTGAGGTCATTTTGACCAACAACTTCCGGTGAGGCCATTGATGGGAGCGTACGAACAGGACCTGAAATACCTCAAATAATTTTCAGTCTGTAAACACTTCTTAATTGAATAGGAGTTTCATGAACTTGCACAGTTCAATAATTATTTAATTTATTGCTGAAATATTTACAATTTTAAACTTAATCTGTAATATCCTGAACATCGACCAGCAAACGTGTTTTGTTAGGCAGCCTTCGTATTTTTTGTGGCCTCGGTAAAGTGCGTTTGGTTTCATAAAATGACACTACCCCTGAAGAAGAAAGAATAATCGTTGAATAAAGATTGATTGTATATTCGTTTCAATTGTGAATAATTATCTTCCTGCAAAATTTGTACTTAGCGAATGAATCTTTTTAATATGCAATGTGAAATAAAAAATTATAAATTTCTTACCTTTTTTGGTGGAGCGAAATCGTGCTTAAAAACCTCGTAATGTTTTTGACATTGTGTAGAATCTTTTTTTATTAGCCAATTTGTTATTTTGTGGTCTCCACGCACGATTGTGCGCGCTCGCGATGGGAGCGGTTGTCGTGGCAGTGATTTAAGCACATTCTCCGAGGCCTTGTCACTTGCTGTGGTCAAGTACCTCACTTAGATTACCGCCGGATAATGGTCGTCCCTTCCCTTCATCACGATAGTTGCTTAGCAACTTCATAAGTTATTCACGTGCCGCATTTCAGGGACATCAAGTGTTCCTTATCTGCCATAGAGTTGAGTGAGATCGTACGTTCGCTTGAATGTCATTTATTGTGAACATGATTGCAAGTGCAATCGAAAATCATGGATAACGGAGTGATATTTCCGGCAAATATGGCTTTAGCAGCGATAGGAAAATACTTTCCTCAGTACAAATTGTCGAGGAGGCTGATAAATGTATTTACAGTCAGGGGTTTCACCGAGTGGAAGTAATCTCTGTGAGGAAAAGAGAAAAAAAATTTACATGGGTTCCTTGCATTTTTTCGTGTGCTCTGCCGACGATTGTTTTTTCTATTTTTTGTATTTTGTTATTTTTTCGCTGTTACTGTTCACTATAGCTTGCTGTTATTAAGGGGACCGCCCTAGCATACGAAAACTTCTATAGTTATTATCCGATTGTCATGAAACTTCACATACATACGTAAAATGTAAAAAAAAAACATTTTGTTCCTATGAATTTTTCGAAAAAATTGATAGAAAACGTGAAATTCATAGAAAACGGCTAAAAAGGGGTACTTTAGAAAATCTATCTCCTCCCACAAATATCATCCTACAACATCGAGACACGTATCAATCGATTCGTAAAGACCATATCTATTGACTCTAACATCACTTTTTTCATTTTCCATCTAGTTTTTTTTATTGCGTTTTTTTTTCTATTTTTCCCATTTTTTCTCATTTTTCTTGAGGAGCTGTCACAAAGTCATTTTTCGACGTACAGGGACGATACTTATACCGTTCGATGCGCAAGAAAACAACCTTTAAGATGAGATAAGAAACAGAAAAACTCAAAATTTTCAAATTTTAGCTAGGGCGGTCCCCTTAAGGGGAGCGTCTGGGTAAAAAATCGAAAAATTTTTCTCTTCCGTTTTTTGTGCTCATTTTGTAGCTGCGGAAAAGGCGCGTCTAACGCAGCAAACCACATGTATGTGCGTGCTCTAGTTTTTACGTAAAGCAGTTTCAAAATTATGCAAAATGAACATTATTTAACAATATGTACAGAGATTTATTTAAGAAGAATAGTATTTATCGATTATTATTTGTGTTAATTAAGCTGGTTTTAAGCTCTTTTTGTAGCTGCAATTATGCGGGTCTAACGCAGCAAACAAACATACATATGTTTGTCCTTCAGTTTTTACTTGAGGCAGTTCCAAATTTACGAAAAAATGAATATTTTAGACAAAATGTACAAAGCTTAATTTGAAAAATTTAGAGATCATTATTCGCGTCAATTGCGATGTGTTTGGACTCATTTTGCAGATGCAAACAGGGCGCGTTCAACAAAGCAAATAGCATGGATTTGCATGAAATAATTTTTTCGTAAGGCCGTTTGAACTTTCTTAAAATTACCATTTATTCGCGGTTGTCCAGTTTAATTATTCGCGTAGAAAAACTGAACAAGAATAAGTTTAGGGACGCGTGATATTACCCTAAGTACGAGTTTTTGGGCAATGGAAAATCTGGAGCTACAGTATCAAGCAATTTGTTAGTATTTCTTCTTTTTTCAAAATATCTTACTTATTTGGCCTGAACAATTAAAATTTTCAAAATACGCCATCTTGAAAATCCATCTCATTTTATGATTTTCAAGCTTCAGCACTGAGAGACGTATCATTCGATTTGTAAAGACCATATCTAGCGACTCTAGAAGCATTTTTTCTTATTTGTACATGGATTATATATCGAAAAAATCTAGAGGGTAGTGGGGAATAATGGAAAAAGTCGTGTAATAAAATAAACCTACCCTGTGTGATAATACCAATATTTTAGTTGTTTCAAACTCGTGCTCTAATCGACTTCTGTCATAAAATAACTTTGCGTATAGGCAAGCAATTCCTCTTCAGACTTTAAGGTTTCTTCAGTAAAACCATCGCATCACTTTTTTTCAATGCAAAATTCGCTACCGGTACTTTAAGTATCTGAATAGTCACATTCGAAATATTTGTTTTGTGCTCCTAAAACCGCGCCTGATGTTTCAAGAGAAAATTATAAATTCCTATTCTCTGACGCATGCAT